TGCCATCCCCGCAGTCGCAGTGGGGTCGCAGCGGTGGTCCAGAGCCGCTGTGGCTCCCAGATTTTCCAAACGGGGCACCCCTTCAGCGATGTTGCGCAGCAATGCGTCAGTCTCCAGGTGTTCCTTCGCCTGCCCGCAGTCTTCCCTGACGCATAATTGACGTTGCCTCCACCAGGCACCTCGTTCCGCCGTCTTAAACTGGACCTGCCTTGCCTGCACCTCTCTGGTCTCAGGTAGCACATTCTGCCTGGACGGCACTTTGCCTCACCGCTCAGTTGTCTTGGTTGCTTCGGGCAGGTGAGCACACGACATTCCAAAGCTCAAGGTCTGGGCGCCGCTACCGTCCCAAGAAACCGTTTCGACCATGTGAAGAAACAACCAAACCCCCCGGTACCGGAGAAGCTGTCGGGATCTGGGACACACCACAAAGACGGCAGTCTTCATACCTCTCCTGAGTGCCTGAGCCAAAGTCGTCCGATCTCGATGTTGCTGTGGGTGTGCCACATGGACAGGAACGGCTGCAGCGGGAGCTAGATGATGACAGAGTAGAGCTGTAAGAACAAGGCAGGTACGGAGGAATAATTGACGACCTAAGACAGCGTTGTCGCCGTAGGAGCTGCCCATCGGAAACCGGCAACTTGAATTCATGCTTTGACGGAGACTTGGGGGAGCGGATCTCCAATATGCAAAATCGAATGTACGACATGACCTTACTCGACCTTATTTCAAAACTTAAACAACTACCCTAACCCAGCGGAGCTGAGCTGAGCTCCCTCGTTTGAGTAGCCCTTTCAGAGCTAATTCGAAGAAAATAATTCGGACAAGATTCAGGGAGTTGCTCATCCAAGTGGTGTCAGCTAGGGTTCACAACATCGGCGTCCTGTATCATCTATAAGTCATTTCAAGCTCGTCACCACAATCGCCCTTTTCGATCCCATCTTCACACGGACAAGCGGACTCTGCACTTTCCTGGGGTAAAATGCGCCTTTTTGCGCTATGCTCTCAGAGCTAGCCACGCGCCATGACGATCTGAAATATCTTACTTTTGTAGTGCCGTCTATGCTTTTGACCATATTACGCCCCAGCATCGATATGCGATTCATACACAAGGGAATTCTTTTGGTTGACGGTAAAAAAGACAACATCTCCGCCTCTTTTTCCGCTCCATCATTACGCGCCATTTACTCAAAACTCCACAGCTTCGTCAGCAAGGTGTCTTGGACACCGGATTCCGGTTCGTTCGGCAGGAACACCCTCTTCGGGATCTGAAATTCAATCACCGGTGGCTTCTTGACCTGCTTGGTCATCTCGGCCTCGAGCAACTGTAACAATGTTAGATGCATTCATCCGAAAGTGCACTGGAAGGTAACTCACACTGCTGTACGAGTGGTCTAGGAAGTCCTCAATGTTGTAGGACTGCTTAGTGAACTGCTCTGACAGGATCTTTGCAATCGTCGCCACGTTGGGGTGGTAGTGCGTTTGCAGCTGTACAATCTCCCACAAGCAGCTGTCGATGGCATTTGTCTCCATCGGATCCGCCTCATCCTCTACAAACGGGTCGTTGACACCCTGAGTCTCCATGAGAGCCTTGATTTCGGGTTCTCTCGTCTCTCTGTGGAGCATAAAGGTGCACTGCGGATGCCTCTTGAAGATGTTGTACATCCAGGGGACGATGTAAACGATGGCGCTCGGAGGCGCGTTGAGGCTGAGCCTCGCCAGCCTCTTGATGAAGCTTGCCACGAGCACAGCAGGCAAGTGAGTCGACGCCAGAAACGTGTCCATGAGACGGAAGAATCTTGAGCGGTGCTTCGAGTGAAGAATATCGCGGTCCAACAGAGAGTAGAGCTTCGTGTAGAAGGAGGGGTAGTCGAGGTTGCGCTCCTTGATGAGGTAAAACACACCCGAAAGCGCGAGCAGAGAGATTGAGCCACCGGCGTCGTAAGAGTCTGTGAGGAAATCGGCCAATAACTCTGGACGGGTGAACCACGGGGCGATCTCGTTGGACATGATGTCCAAAACCCGCTTGCGCTGCTCCTTTGTTGATGAGAGCTTGAGTACTGCAAGCCAGGCGTCTTGGCCTTGCCTCTTGTGCTGGTGTAGGTTGTTAAGGACATGAGACTTTTGCTTCGGCTTCTCGACCCAGTACTTTTCCAGCGCTGTCGGGACACTGCCAATATTTGACAGCAACTCGAAAAGATCGTCAAACAGTTCGTCTTCTGGCGTTTCCCCTGGTGCATCGGCCATCGTCCTACTCTCTGTTAGTATACATGAGGCACAGGGTTTCTCAAGACATACTTGATAGCCTTCAGTGTGAAAAAGCGAATATCGTCATATTCACTCATAAACTTCTCCACAAACTCGGCCCGGGCATCGTCGCTGTCTGAGTTCAAGAGTGCCGTGGTGATCTGTTGCAAGAAGCTTGCCGGGAAGTTGTACTCCTCTTTGTCGTTCAAAGTGTGAGCCTCAGTCTTGAGACATCTCATGGCCAGCGTCAACGCCGTCATCGCCAGATCTTCGTCGCCAAGAAGTTCGGAGAGAACCGACTTGTATTCGAAATACCGGTCCTTGAGCCACGACACAACCACCAATTCCTTCTCCGATAGACCCTTCTTCCTCTGGAGAGCGCCAGCTGAGAGTAACCTGACAAAAACCCTGCACAAGGCCACAGAAGCCAGGGTTGCCGACTCGGGCTCATCTTCGAAAGTTTTTGCGATCTGGATCAGTTTGGTGATGTTGTTGTAGTTCTTCTTCGACTCCAAGATCTCACTCTCAAGGAGCAAGATCTCAGCTTGAGGATCACTCTCATCGCCACTGCTCTCGGGTTCAGACTCGGACTCGGATTTGGCGCGCTTCTTCGACTTCTCCTTCGCGGGAACTCTTTTCCTCTTCAGGCCCTCGCCCGACGCTTTCGCAGGCATTTTTGGCGAATATTTTCGGTGGTTGATGTAGTTTGATATTGAAGCTCTGGGACCGATCTCAATTCTCGAATTTTACAGCGGGTCCAGTGAGACGGGAATTTTCTGTAGATGGCCCGGCCGTCCATTCAGCGAGAAGGAGGCATGGTCCGTGCATTATCTATCACGTGATGCATGCTGACTGGCTCCCTCGGGTCTGTTCATCGAAATTCTCGTCTCCCACTAGAGCTTTGAACGTAGGACCTCAAAGCCGCCGTAATACCCGCATCCCCAGATCATCTCACAATGGCGTCCCGCTTGGCTAGAAGCGCTGTCGGTACGTCGAGACAACCTCCCCGAACCCATGGCGTGTCAATTGGCCGTCCCGACGATGGCGAAAAAAAGGCCGCAAGCTGGAAAGCAAGGACCCGTGGAACCTAGGCTAACACTCAGCTCTCCCTTCTCGACGCAACAGGCGCGAACCTCCTCCGGCCAACCCTTGCCCGCCGCGCCCTTCCCGCCATCTCGGCCTCCGTCTCCGGCGCCCGCAACGCCTCCAACGTTCCCGCCGAGGACCCCAAGAAGAAGGCTCAGTCCATTGTCGACGCCCTCCCCGGCAACTCGATCCTCTCCAAGACCGCCATCCTCTCCTCCTCCGCCGCCCTGAGCGTCTACGCCATCAGCAACGAGTACTATGTCGTCAACGAGGAGACCGTCGTCGCCTTCTGCCTGCTCGCCGTCTGGGGCGGCCTGATCAAGTACGGAGGCCCGATGTACAGCGAGTGGGCCGAGGCCCAGGCCAACAAGATCAAGGGCCTCCTCAACCAGGCTCGCGCCGACCACACCCAGGCCGTCAAGGGACGCATCGAGGACGTTAAGCAGATGTCCAGCGTCGTCGAGATCACCAAGTCTCTCTTCGAGGTTTCCAAGGTACGATTCGACCGATGACGTTGATGGAGGGGTTCCGAGGACCGGACGAACGGATGGAAGTGGAGGGGAACGTAAACATGGCTCGGACTGAATGGGTTCGCTAACGGAGACGTTTACAGGAGACTGCCAAGCTCGAGGCTGAGGCCTACGAGCAGGAGCAGAAGACCGCCATCGCCGCCGAGGCCAAGGCCGTCCTCGACTCCTGGGTCCGCTACGAGGGCCAGGTCAAGCAGCGCCAGCAGAAGGAGCTCGCCGAGAGCATCATCGCCAAGGTCACCAAGGAGCTCGAGAACCCCAAGGTCCTCCAGCAGATCCTTCAGCAGTCCGTTGCTGATGTCGAGAGTAAGAAGCAATGCCCCGCGCCTACATCTCCGTCATCGGAAGTACCTCGGATATCCTTTTACTGACTCTCCTTTCACAGAGATCGTCTCCAAGCAATAGATTCCCCGACCTAGAGTCTGAGCGAGAAGATTTCTTTTGTCCAAGGGGTTCCCTTGCGTGTCAATAAACACCTGTGCATTAGCCAATTCAAGAACTTCGAAAAGGACGCCTTGACATCTGCTACGTGTCGCGTAATATGTTTAATTAGGAGAAACATGTACTCGACGGCATTCACGATCTTCAAAACGGACACGATGTGTATCATCATTCAATTTCATTGACTATCTGTCCTACAGCTATCTATCAAGGCCACACTCAATTGACATGTTGAATGCCGTGGCGTTGCGGGTGTTCTTTTCCGCCCGCCCATCTCCACCTCTAACTCCGACCCTTTCCGACATTCCCCGTCCGAGCATAGCAACCGGCCCGTCGGTACGACAACCCCACCATGTCGATAGAAATCATTCCAAAGTCAATCAATCATGAAATCGCAACGAAAGTCAACGAGCAATAAAATCTGTTCAATCTTGCTGTTCTCTGTTTGGAAAATAGAGGCAAGGAAAAGTCTGTTCTTGACATTGTACAACAAACAAGCCTGAACGCCGCCTCAAACCAAACTAAACCCATCCCAAAGCTCGTAAGCAAGGTATTGAGAAACGAAAAGCCCACGGGGCCTCCTTTCCATGCGTCAGATATATTATTACAAAGAAAATGTTACATACGGTCGTCCTTTGGGATCGTAAGAGCTCAATAAACCATTCCCCCGGACGTTCAAGCATCATCCATAGCGTGCATTCAGTAGATAGGTCGCGACTCTTCCCATTTCGAGTGAGCGCCAGCCTTCTCCGCCGCATCAGGGGTATCTTCCGTCTTGACGTCCGGTCCCGCACCAAAGGAAATCCTTCCGCTCTTACGTCGTCTAGCAGTGTCTCCCGTAATAGGTCCGATCCACTCCCAAGCGCGACCAACCTCGCCGCTGCGTCCTTCTCTTTGGCTGGTTCTCACGTTGCTATTTTGCTCAACAACAGCCTTGACACGCTTCCAGATGCGATCACGCTCGCCGAGCGAGTGCACAGAGCGGAGAACGTCATCGCGGAGGTTGGGCAGGAAGAGCCAAGGGTCGTCGATCTCTTCCTCGCCGAGTTCCTTCTGCGTTGCCAGCCGAGCCAGAACAAGATCAACAAGCGCTGGGACCTGGGCCACAGTCGCCTTATGGGATCTGTACTTGGAGCGCACGTAGAAGTAACTAACAATCAACACGATCACAGATCCAATTGAGAGTCGATGTCTTGCCAGCCCGAGCCTGAACGAGCGCTTGATGGCGCAGCCGATTGGAAGGCGAGCGAGAGAGGAGGACGATAGGTAGGCGTCTGAAACTGAGGTGGAATTGGCCTTTCTACTTCGGGCACATCCGATCTGGTTAGTACGCATGTTAGGAGTTGACGATTTTGATATAGGGGCAGGCTGAAGTCTGTGAAGAGCAAAACAGGAGACGTTGACTTACGGAACAACTTCCACTTCCTCGCGACCCTTGACATCCCCGATAGCGGCAACCCACAGGTCGTCAAACTCCTGCTTGTTCATCTTCTTGCTTCTCTTTGCGCTGATGACCTTCTTGAGCTCCTCCTCATCAATCGCGGGGGCCTCCGGCGCCTGCTGGGCTTCGTCGGTAGAATCGCCGCACTCAAACTGGGCTCGCCTCTCTCGGAGCTCTTCGACTGTCTTGTCGGCCACAGCCTTCACCCTTCGCACCTTCTCACCGTCGGGCTCACATGTTGGGGGCAAGGGGACCAGGCCACCAAGGGCAAGTGGGTGCGGCTTCAGGATGAAGTCGGGCTCACAGCGGACAGAGAAGTCTTCATAGCAGTAAGCGTGCTGAGGGCACAGCTCGCACTGAGGCTCAGCCAGCTGGACCGCCCAGTCAGGGACGGGGATATCCGCGGGGATGATTTGCGTCGCGGGACGGCCTAGTCCGCAGTATCCAACAGCCACCTTCTCTTGACGGTACCAAGCGCCGTAGGCTCCAAGCAAAGAGACAGCCAGGGCCCAGAAAGGCTTGGCGAGACTTCTTCTGGGACGGGCCGGCGTACGGCGGGGTGCCAGAGCACTTTCACCACTTGCCGCCATCTCCTGCTCCATTTCGAATTGAGCATCCGGAGTGAACTCTTCGCCAGCCTCGACAATTTCAGCCGGCTGATACTCTGGTGTGTCCTCGCGCAACAATGTACTGACAGGGACCTCGAAGGCCTGTGATTTCCTAGATGACTTCGGTCGCTCTTCGGCGTGATGGCCGTCCGTTCGTCGTCGTACACTGTCGTTCTGGAAAAGATCCTGTCCAGTTCTCCTGCGTCCCGTAGCAGGGGTCTTGATGGGTGCCGGCGAGCTGCCGCTCTGGAACGGGTTGTCCATCGAGAAATACTCAGACTCCCTCCGCTTCTTGAAAAAGTCCTCCTCGGACTCTTCTTGCTTGATGTGAGGGGTCACGTTGCGCTTGGTGCGGACCGACTTGGGCGGCTCTGGTTGCTCAAACACGGGCTGCTCAAACCGCTCCAACTGCTCAACCTGCTCAGGCTCGTAGTACGGCTCAGGCTCCACAGGTTGCCGGCTGCTAGCTCGCACCTTCCTCTTTGTCGGGCTGATCGGGGCCGGCGGCTGTTGGTCATACTCCTCGCTCTTAACTCGGGTGGAAGCCTTGCGCGGAGACTGCGATCGGGTGGTCCTGCGTCGTGGTGGCGGGGCGAGGTCGTAATCATCAAAAGACTCGCTTTCGTGATTGCTTCCCATATCCACGATCCCCTTGCTTGACCGCTTCGCTCTAGCCTGCTTTGCCAGAATCTTCTTCGCTTGAGGCAAGACCTCTTCGTTGAAGAGATCGACAAGCTGGGGCTTCTTTGCTGTCGAGGGGTATTGAATTTCGTGCGCCACGAGGATCGATCGCAGGCGGGGGACCGTCAGCGATTTCGGGTCGAACCCGGGCTGGAGGTATTCGTACTCGTCCATGTTTGCTTGGAGCTGTCTGTTGTTGGATAGAGAGAAAGAAAGAGCGACAGACGACAAGAAGCAATCAGACGTTATACCCAAGTAAGGACAGACTGTGATGAGATCCGTGCGAGTGAGACACTTTGCGATGGTGATGTCAAAGGCAGCTGTCGTTTGCTCTCTCGACAGTGGAACCCTGAAGGAAAGGGTAAGCAGGCTTCCAACAGCAAGGTAGAAAAAACGTGTCGCACGGAGGTTTTGGCCTTATTTCTGCGGCCTTGACAGGCGGGCACCAGATCTTAGCGATGGTGTAAGATGCAAGTTGTGCAGACGATGCGCCCAGTGGACAGATGTTGATAGGGAAAGTCAAATAAGAGCCCACTGACGCAACAAAACCGTCCTCTCCCGCTGTCTGGGTGCTGTGGCAACGTACTGGGTCATGAGGTGTCTGAAAAACACCTAGTGTGGGGGCCTAGAGCAGGCAGAGCAGGCAGACAGGGGGACATCAGTTGAAATTGCAGGGGTCATGGCTTCCAATCAGCACAGATCGCGGGTGATAGACACAGCCACACTTGGAGGACCGTTCCGAACGACCGGGAGGCCTGGCTGTGGCTTGAAATGTGGCGAATTTTTTCGAGCTTGCCCTGACATATTGGAGCTATCGTCCCATGTGATCATACGTCAAGATCATACCTGCCACCCTGCCAGGAAGTTGTCAACTGGCTGAAAAAAAAAAAAAAATGGCAGCTTCACGCGCTCTTCTTCGGCCAAGGTTTGTCTGCAAGACCTGCACTCGCAGATTTCAATCGCAGGGCCGGCGGTCTTACGCGAGCGCAAGCGCATCTTCGTCGGCGTCGGAACCAGACATCTACGATGTTGTCTGCGTGGGAGGCGGGCCGGCAGGTCTCAGTCTTCTGACTGCTCTCCGTACGAACCGATCGGTTGCTCCAACGATTGAAATGAAGGCTGATCATTTTTAGGAGCCAACCCGGTGACATCCCGCCTCAGGGTAGCTCTTGTCGAAGCCCAGGACCTCTCCAAGACCCGCGCCTGGAAGCTCCCCGCCGACAAGTTCTCGAATCGCTGCAGCTCCCTCACGCCGACTTCCGCACAATACCTCAACACGATCGGCGCATGGAGTCATCTGAAGCGCGACCGTGTCCAGGACTACAATGAGATGCAGGTCTGGGATGGTGTCAGCGGCGCAAGGATCGAGTTTGACTTGCCTGGAGGAATCTCAGAGGGGAAGACCATCGCTTACATGTGCGAGAACCTCAACTTGACTTCGGGCCTGTTGGGTCGCCTGGACGAGCTGGGCGGAGTATCAGTGTACGACAGTGCACGGGTTGAGCACATTGGCTTCGGCGAGGAGACTGAAGACTTCGATTTGACGCAATGGCCTGTCGTACACCTGTCAGGCGGGAAGAAGCTCCATGCGCGGTTGCTGGTCGGGGCGGACGGCGCAAACAGCCCTGTTCGCACATTTGCTGGCATCAAAGCTCGCGGCTGGGACTACGGCAGGCACGGTGTTGTTGCAACTCTGCAAATGGAGGGAGATGGATGGGGCGGCGAATACAACAAGATCGCCTACCAACGTTTCCTGCCTACTGGACCGGTAGCCATGCTGCCTCTTCCAGGTAACTACTCGACCTTGGTCTGGTCAACAACGCCTGAGCGGGCCGCATTTCTGAAGAGCCTCCCGCCCAAGGAGTTTATTGCTATGGTCAACGCTGCCTTCCGGCTGAGCCCGGTTGATATTGGATTCATGCACACCCAAGAGTCTGGCCAGACGGAGGAGCTCGATTGGAGACTTGAGCACACCCCGGTGGACCGCCGCGCAGTCCCTCAGCAGGTTGTCGGTGTCCAAGACGGCACGATTGCTTCATTCCCTCTCAAATTGCGGCATGCCGACACCTACACGGCTGAGAGGATTGCTCTTGTTGGTGATGCGGCACACACCATTCACCCCCTGGCTGGTCAGGGTCTGAACCAAGGCCAAGGTGATGTTCAGAGTCTCGTGAAGACCATCGAGACCGCCGTGTCTACCGGTCAGGACCTGGGTTCAACCATCTCCCTCGAGGCTTATAACTCGGAGCGTTACATCGCCAACCACGTTGTAATGGGCGTGTGTGACAAGCTTCACAAGCTCTACTCCATCGAGAGCGGGCCGCTGGTACCACTGCGGTCTATCGGCCTGAGTGCCGTCAACGCCATGGGTCCTTTGAAGAAGTTCTTCATGGAGCAGGCTTCTACAACCGGCGCTAAGTTGTTCTGAGAAAACCGAATGTACACTGTAACATCATTGTATTGCAAAAGTTGATGGATTGGCTGTCAAGTTGGTCGTCCAGTGCTCTATGTAGTCGTGACATCAATTACCATGAATTCTAGATGAATCCGGTGCTTCGCTCTCAAGAGCAAAGGGGAACCATCATGTGTGGTGAATAGCCCACAGGCTGCCGCAATCCATCAAGTCTGAGCAAGATTCTTCTAGAAAAGAGAACAATGCGGTATATACGTAAATGCTTTGTCTCTTCACTCTACAAGTACAAAAGGAAGAAGATTCCTGACAGTCGTTTTGATTTCCCTCCTCTGAAGCACTCTACCGATCAACCTCACCTGAAATGACGTTAGTTATGCGGGTCGAAACTTGAGAAAGTGGGAAAACTTACCGAACACCAAATCCATCGTACCGATAACCGCCACAGCGTCAGCAAGCATGTGACCCTTGCAAACGTGATCAAAGCCACCCAAGTGGGCAAAACCAGGGGCTCTAATGTGGACACGGTAGGGCCTCTCGCTACCGTCACTGACGACGTAGACGCCCATCTCACCCTTGGGGGCCTCGATGGCAGAGTATGTCTCACCAGGGGGAACTGTGTAGCCCTTGGTGTAGAGGAGGAAGTGGTGGATGAGAGCCTCCATGTTCTCCTTCATGGCGGAGCGGGGCGGGGGAGAGATCTTGTAGTCCTCGCAGCGGATGGGGCCGGCAGGCATCTTGTTCAAACACTGGTGGATGATACGCAGGGATTGTCTGAACTCCTCCATACGGCAGAGATATCTGTCGTAGCAGTCGCCACGGACACCGACGGGAACATCAAACTCAACCTGGTCATAAGCATCATAAGGCTGGCTCTTGCGGATATCCCAAGGAACACCGGAACCACGGAGCATGACACCAGTGAAAGACAGGTTCAGAGCCTCGGCGGCAGAGATCACACCAACACCCTGGAGACGCTGGATCCAAATACGGTTGTCTGTAAGCATCTCTTCGGTCTCGTCGATACGGTCGCCGAATTGAGTGGCCCACTGGTAGATGTCGTCAAGAAGACCCACGGGGATATCCTGGTGGACACCTCCGGGACGGACGTAGGCGGCGTGGAGACGAGCACCGGAGACACGTTCGTAGAATTCCTGGCAACCGGGTCAGCCGGAGTTTTCCCACATTCCTTCAGGACTAAATATCCGACTTACCATGAGCTTCTCACGCTCCTCGAAACCCCACAAGAAGGGCGTCAGAGCACCAACGTCCATGGCGTGCGACAAAACGGACATCAAGTGGTTCAGGATGCGAGTGATCTCGCCGAACAGGGTGCGAATCCACTTCGCGCGGTCGGGGATCTCAACGTTCAGGAGCTTCTCAACAGCCAGGGCGAAACATTGCTCGTTCGTCATCATGGAAACGTAGTCGAGACGGTCGAAGTAGGGAAGGGCCTGAGTGTATGTCTTGTACTCGCAGAGCTTCTCGGTACCTCGGTGGAGGAGGCCAACGTGGGGGTCGGCTCTGACGATTTCTTCACCGTTGATCTCGAGAATCAGACGCAACACACCGTGAGCGGCGGGATGCTGGGGACCGAAGTTGACAGTGTAGTGGCGGATCTTGCGGTCCTCCACGCCCTCCTCGGTAACCTTGGTATGGCCATCGGTGCCCACTGGCCGGGTAATGCTGTAAGGGTCGGCGGCGGGGGAGAAGTCGGAGGCGACGGGCGTGAGTCTCGTTCCTTGGTATTCGGTAGAGGCATCGGCGTATCGGCGGCGGTAGGTCGTCGAGAAAGGGCGAACGGCGTTGAACGAGGAAGCTGCCGGGCGCAGACATAACCTCTTGGCGCTGTGGCCGGCGAGTCGGTAGAGGCCTGCCATGGTGGATGTAGAGTGGAGAGACGGCTTCAAAAGAGGTCGACGAGATGCGTGCCCCCAATTGAGCCTCCTTTATTATGCCAATGGCTGGGTGCCGGCTGCGTTGGATGGAGGGGATTCGCCTTCGAATTGAAGTGTGAGTGTCATGTCGGAAAGCTCAGAAACCAGTAATTGCCTCGCGCTGATTGGTTTGGCGGGCCGCAGCCCTTCCGCGGACAGTGTGGCACGGTGCAAGTAGACGGTCCAGTGGAAAGCTACAAGGATGCGACGTTTAATTGAGAGCTCTCCAACAAACGCACCTGAGCTGCAGCCGCTGCAAAAAAAGAGGTAAGGAAACTTTTTCATTGTCAGAAAATCACTACAAGTCGTTGTCGACGTCGCTCTAACTTTTCAGATGGATGGATGAGCAAAACTCGCTTTTTTGTTTCATTTAATCGCAAATGGCTCATCTCAGTTATCTTTCCAGATCTGGCTGACAAGAAGCCCCAGACCGCTTTTCGCACTCCGTCGGTGAGAAGAGCAGGCCCGAACTCCTCTGACAGGAGTCACCGAAAATGCTATGGCCTTTCGGGTCAGGGAAACCTGAGCCTCCCAAAGAGAAAAAGTCCATCTTTTGGAATGACCTCCTCCCGCAGCCAGATCCTCCACTGCACGCCGCGAGAGAGTGGGCGCCCGTCTTCCTGACCGCTGTTGGGTCGCTGGCCGTATTCACTTTTTATAACTCACGCCTGCGGCGATATCCCACAACCGGGCATATCTCACCAGACCTCTTCAGGAAACGGACACTGTTCGGCCGGGTCACGAGTGTCGGGGATGGAGATAACTTCCACATGTACCATACCCCAGGCGGGAGGCTCGCTCTGTGGGGTTCACTGAGGAGAGTTCCCACCACCAAAGCCAAGCTGAAGGGGAAGACGGTGAGAGTTGTTCTTACACATTTGAGGTGCACAACCCACTAACAAGCGTCACTCAGATACCTGTGCGATTGGCTGGGATCGACGCTCCTGAGGGCGCTCACTTTGGTAAGCCTGGACAACCAGGTGCTCCAGAAGCTCTCAAATGGCTCAACGACTACATCTTGAACCGACGCATCTGGGCAAGGATCCACAAACGCGACCAATACGACCGCGTCGTTGCGACTGTTTTCGTGAGACCGTTCCTTTTCAAAAAGGACGTCGGGTTGGAGATGCTGAAGCGAGGCCTGGCAACGACTTACGAGGCAAAGTCCGGAGTGGAATGGGGAGGTTTTGAACAAAAGTACAAAGCCGCTGAAGCCAAGGCCAAGGAACAGAAGCTAGGCATTTGGGCTGGCAAGGCTAGCGACTTTGAAAGTCCCAGGGATTACAAGACGAGGGTCAACGAGGCGGGAGAGAAGGTCGTGGAGGAGGTGAAGCCGGATGAGAAGAAAAAGAAAGAGGAGAAGAAGAAGACCTGGTGGTTCTTTTGAGACGAGGGCTGCGGGTACGGCTTCTGCATGAGACATGACTGTTTATGAGCCGATTCATTTTCGACATGCACATACGACAATCACTAGCAGCGAGCATATACGGTACCTATCATAGGACATGAGATGCCAGGGTAACCCTTCATGAGAATAGATGCGTTATGAGCAATGGTGAAATCGACTGGGATCTGTGAGGGTGAATGAGTTGGCAATCGCCTAGTTGCATATAGCTGATTTGTCAATACGGCTGCATGATTGGCTGGCAATTTCCCGGGTCGCTTGCTGGCTCCTGCCCCTTGCACTGTACCATATGCCTGCCCCTGTGTTTGACCCGAACTTCAGAGGTGTCGGACGCCTCAGTGGCCAACCTCCTCCCAATCCTCACCAAGCGACTTCAACGTTGAACGTCGGAGTGTTTCTCGTGTTTCTTCAGGTTCTTTTCCGACAATAACACTTGCTTCGACTGCCGTTCTCTCATACACACCGTATCTCCTAACCGTCGCTGGCGGCGACCCTTCGCCCAAGATGTCGCTACAGGTCAGGGGTCCCGACTTCTCGGTGACCAAGCAGAAAGCTCTCGAAGATGCAAAGAAGATGCAGTCCGCGGTTGATGAGGAGGTGGCCAAGGCAGGCCAGGACAAGCCACCTTATCTTCTCAACGAGCTCATCGGCAAAGGAAGTTTTGGTCGAGTCTACAAAGCAACCGACATTAATACGAGTATGCTCGTTGCGGTCAAGATCATCGACATCGAAGAGAGTGACACCGTCAATCCCAAGCTCGCCGACACCTTCAAGGAATTTTTGGCCGAAGTCAACGCCCTGAAGCTTCTCAGTGACAGTGGCGCCAAGAACATCAACCATGTCATTGACGCGCTTCCCGTCGGCCAGTCAATGTGGATGATCACCGAGTATTGTGCTGGAGGAAGTGTCGCGACGCTCATGAAGCCGACGGCTCCGGGTGGACTTCAAGAGAAGTGGATCATTCCCATTCTCAGGGAGGTTGCAGAGGCTGTCTTCTGGGTTCACCGGCAAGGAATTATTCACCGAGACATCAAGTGCGCCAACGTCCTGGTCACCGAGGCTGGCGGCGTTCAGCTTTGTGACTTTGGAGTTGCTGGTGTCATCGAGACCAAGTTTGACAAGCGATCTACGTTCATTGGCACGCCTCACTGGATGGCTCCTGAGCTCTTTGATCAGTCAACATCCTACGGTACGGAGGTAGACATTTGGGCATTTGGCTCCATGGTGTATGAGATTGCCTCAGGTCTGCCGCCGAACGTTATGGCAGGAATCGACGTCTATCAGCTCGGAAACTACATCAAGGCCCATACGCCTCGATTGGAGGGTGATCAGTACTCCGATCAACTCAAGGATCTCGTAAGCTATTGTTTACAGGAAGACCCTTCGAAGCGGCCAACGATCGAAGATGTCCAAAAGCATCCCTACATCGCCAACACCGCACAGAAGTATCCTGCCTCGTCACTGGCTCTGCTGGTTAGAGGTTTCAAGTTGTGGGAGTCCCAGGGTGGCAGTCGAAAGTCCCTATTCGCACCTGGAGGTGCGCAAAATGTCTGGGACACGGACGACTCAGACTTTTCATCCACAGCGATGGCGAATGACGAATGGAACTTCAGCACGACCATGGCTTTCGATCAACAGGTGTTTCAAAACACAGATGTCCAGGCGGTCTACGATGTGTATGGCTCAAACGTAGATTTTGATCCCGGATTTCTGGATGAAATGTCGAGGAACAAGCCGAAGGGTGGTCGCAGAAGGCCACCTCCTCAAGCGCTTGCCGCGATGAAGGCTCCTCTCGAAAAGGTCTTTGACCCCAATACGATTTCCAACTACGAAGATAACTCCCGGGCTTACTATGGCCGACCTGTCCCTCCGCCGGCTTCCGATCTCCCTCTCCGAGACGATTCCCTTCAGTCGATGACAGTAAGAGAGTCTCTCATTGACCTCGATGCTTCGCTGAATGGTAGCAACCTCGCCAACTTTGTGGACATGAATACCATCAGAGCTGGTGCACCACGTGTGTCTGTCGACTACCACATGGGAGACGAACCAGATTTCAACAAGCCACCTCTGAGCGACCCAGCCGATCTGAACCCAAACAGAAGGACGCAGGACTGGAAGTTCCCATCAATGGCGCCGCCAGCCTCGGCGAACCCTGAAATGTCCAGGTTTCCTTTTAACGAGGACCGCTCAGGACCCAACTCCGCCTCCAGACCTCAAATGTTCCACCATCAGACCGACCCTGTCCCCGCCCCTAACTATGGAGGTGACTTGACGGTCCCACGGTCGAACTCCCAGATGAACAACAGAGAATCCACCGGGAGCTTGATTGATTTGGACGATCTCATGGTTCCGCAAAGCAACCAGAACAACCGCATATCAACCGGCAGTCTAATTGACCTCGACATGGGCCTCGCAGACCCCACGCCAGAGCTCACCCGTCCGTCCACGGCCAACTCAGACGTTGCTTCAGTAAGTGGTTCAGAGATGGGCCTCGCCAATCCCTTCGATCTCGAGCGCCACGCGTCTCTGTATGTTCCAACGTCCAACAGAGAACCTTCTATCTACGTGCCTGCGGGAGACCGCGAGCCTTCTATCTACGTTCCTGCAGGAGATCGCGAGCCATCGCTCTACATTCCTACATCAGACCGCGAGCCGTCCATCTATGTTCCAGCAACAAACCGAGAACCGTCAATCTATGTGTCCGATGATTCCGATTTCGCAAGGAGCATCCCTAAAGATGATGACCTCGGTCTGGTCGACCTCAACCTAGCCGAGCCCAGCGGCACCGTTCGCCCTGCCAACGGCCAGGCCGGGCTGCGACTCAATACCCACCAGTCGTTCAACAGCGCGGACTACTCAGATCCTGAGTTCCTGACACCTCAGCAAGCCGCGCAGCCTGTTTTTCCTGGTATCCCACGCTCGACGAACCGCGGATCAGTGCCACTGCCACTGCCGCCTCCTCCGGCACCGCCATCGGTCGAGGTCATGCAAGGTTCAGCCAGCGCCGACGCTGTGAAGGAGGAATTGCGGAGGATGGCGATGAGTTTGGGTGAACACTTGAGTCACGCGAACCAGTACCTGTCTACACTGCCTGTGCGCAAGGGTGGCAGACAGGACTTGATGGGAGAGATGGCATAGCGCATCGGCTTGCCAGCAATCACCACAGTATACGAATATTCGATGCCAGAGGCTGGTAACCTACTACAGGGAGGGCATACAGGCGTTTACGGAAATGGTGTAAAATGGCGGGGGCGTATTGCTATTTTGTTGGATGGTTCATATTCCTACGGGTCCTCACCTTTGTTTTTAATGTAAAAGTCACACCCACGGCCACATATAGTTAGTAAGAATAACAGTCACTCCTTTGGACAATTTCTCTCCGATTCATGTAAACTCTGTCCTATTGGAATCCAATCATGTCGCCCAATAGCAGGGCGCGATACTTTTCCGTTGCCTCTTGCAGCTTGATGAGTACCGCAGCGGCAAGCATCTTGACATCGTTCTCCTCTCCGCCATCCTCTCCACGGGTGTTGTTGAAGATGCCACTAACCCACTCCTGCGTCTCGACAACCTCGCGCGGGTGCGCCTCGCAAAGTCGCCGCATGTCCGTTGCCTCGTTGACTTCCAACATAGCAGCCAGCGCAATCAGTAGCGCGTGTGTACCCGGGACGTCCCCTGAAACATGAGCTCGCACACCGAGCAGCAGATCCCACAGTTCGGCCGTCATCTGAGGGAGCGCGAGTGTCGCTGGACCGGCCGAGTGGACGAGCACGGCGAGCGTCTTGAGGTAGAGCGAGAGCAGATGGGACTGGATGAAGACGCCTGAGCGAGCGGAGTGGGAGCGCAGGGCGTGCTGGAAGCGTGCGGTCAGAGGGAAGAAGAAGGATGTGCTGAGCACCGAGGCGGTTGTGTTGGGAATGGATCGGAGGCCGGTCTTCTTCTTGGACGTCTTGTTTTGGAGGCGAGAGGTGAAGGTGGAGAGTTTCAGGGCGTCGGGGCCGGTTGTTGCATCTGCTGCGTTGGCTGCTATGGGAGCCATGAAGGCCGAAGTTAGGGAGTTGGCGATGGTGTCGAGAGCGTTGGAGGGAAGAGCCTTGAGGGTCGACGAGGGGAGCTTTTTGGATGTTGACTGGTCGAGGTAGAGTGCCTCCATCTTCTCCGGGAGGCGTTTGGAGGGAAAGGATGCCGCGGCGGCGTACTCTGAGGCATCGAAGCCGGCGAGCTCACGGGCGCTAAGGCCGAGCACGATGAGAACTGAGGCGCGCTGGGAGACGGAGTAGTCGCCATCAAAGAACGTCTTTGCAAACCACTGTCCCATCTTTTTTGGTTGAGCTACCACGACAGCCATCATACCTTGCAAGCGGAGGTCCCAGAAATTCTCAATCTCGAACTTGTCTTGCAGACCTACGAGCAGCGTGGCGAGTTCTTCGGCGTGGTCGGTCACCTCTGTTCCAAAGTTGGCTTTGCGCCGGATCAAAGTAGGAGCTGTTGTCAAGGCGAGCTTCTGCTTGTCGTAGTTGTCTGTATCGCGGAGATAGGAGAGCAGGTCGCGGACGTAAACAGGAGCCTTGGGTTTGTCGCGGCGCACAAGAGTCGGGTCCTCGTCTGAGTCTTCTGGGTCGGAGTCAGGTTTGGCATAGCGAACAAGATCTTCGTCTTCGCTTTCCGAGTCTGACACTTCTTGGATGATAAACTTTGAGGGCGCGGCAGGTTGCTTCTTCGGCTTCGGAGCTGGCTTTGGTCGAGATGGTTTGGGTGCCGGTGGCTGTCTCTTCTCTTCTGCTGAGGGCTTGGTGATGAGGACGTCGATGGGGCCGACCTGATCTGTTACCTTGACTAGATCTTTGTAGAACTTGGCTTCGTTGGTCTCCATCTCCTCCATCTTGAAATCCAATTTTTTGTCGCTTCCATCAATGAGACTCGAGAGTGCCTCGCCTACCGCCAGGCCTAGGAATCTGGCTTTCTCTTGAGAGGCGCCAATTCTGTTGGAGACAGTATTAAGGTAGGCGGCAGACCGCATGATCATTTTGAGTTTCAGGGGCGAGAGCCTGTTGACGTATCCGGCACTGAGAAGCAGGACTTGGGCGTGGGCCTGCTGCTGCAGAATTGGAGAGTGCTTGATGTAGAGCTGGTCTCCAAATTGGTTGATGCTCTTTTCGAGAATTAGGTTGATGCACTCTTTATCTTGGGCCAAGGCAGCCAAAACCGCACGTCTGACCCCAATGCCTTCTCCGAGACCAGCGCCGGTAGAGCTTGTGAGCCATGAAACAAGATGAGTTTTCCGACTCTCCCCGTTTGCGATCAACCTGTCCACAACACCCGCAGCTGCAGAGATGATTTGGCTCGGCTCTGCGGTCTCTTCATCATCAAGCTTGTTAAGGAAGACTTCAGACAAGTGTTTCAGGACCGCGAAAATTGTTCGTTTCTGTTCCAATTGGGAGAATTGACCGAATAGTTTGAAGAAAGCGTTGCGATTCTCTCCTGGACCAAGGAGCATATCCGTGATGAGCTGCCTCATCAATGCATCTGGCACAGTGTTAATTGGCTCGTCCCTCCCAACAGCAGAAAGCTGATAGCAATTGACATACCTGAATACCCTAGGCGCAGTGACCTTGCAAATACTTCGGCACAGAGCTTGATATCATCGGAAGAGATATCACATTTTGCCCAGTATGCAATGCTTCTTCCAAGCCACTTGCTGTATTGCAGTCCGTCGGCAACCCAGAGACTGTTCCTCGAAGCTCTGTCCGGGTTGGCGAGGACGTCTGCCTCAGCTGCAACTGACACAAGCCGCCCCCCAGCTATGAGTGCGGTGAACTCGTGAGCCATCGGGCGGCGCTGGGCCACGGTATCCAGACCTGCGCTGCTCGCGTCCCAAAGCGCAGCGAGGCAATCATCCCTTTCTAGCACTGCCGAACAGACCTCAATGAGGACGTTCAAGTTGATTGCTAGGTCTGGCCTCTTCACATCTTTCGCACCAGCATTTGACTCTTGTATCAAGGCTTTCAACCGGGTGATTGCTGCGTTGAGCCCGGTGACGTTTCTGAGGGATTTCAATAATAACTCCAGATCGGTTCCTTGAGCAGCTCTCGAGGTAGAGGCATCCTCTTTCAATAGAGGCCAGTAATTCGGGATTATTTCCGAAACTAGGCACTGGATTATCTGTGCGGCCTCCGGTTTTGGCTTTGAGATCTTGAAGCCCGACTTGGCGATACGCCCATGATCGAGAGACTGTAAGACAGATATGAGAGTGTCGTAGTCCGGTTGGCTCTTCAAGGTCTCCAAAGCAATCTCGACAGTGTCGATCTCGGTACTTTGAATGGCCGGCTTAGCCTTGGCAATCGTTTCTGACTCCTGGTGAGAAGGGTCGACAGGCCTGGCCTTGAGGTAGGTCGTGCTGACTGGGGTGAAGTCCATCGCCGTTGACTAGCCTTGGGTCGTTTGCATGGTCCCCAGGGAAAGTTGAGGAAAGGTTAATTTTGAGCTTGTTTTCTTGGTTCGTCCCAGATCTTTTAGCAAACTTTGTTGGCTATCGGCATTTGTTATCTCCGATCTAGTCCTGCAAGCGCTTAATTTTTATCAGAAGTAGAAACACATCATTCTCGCTTCTGGTGGAAATGCAGGCAGCACAGACGAAGGCAACGACGTTGCGAGAGCGTTGACAGCATTTCCACCCACCCCACCACCCTCGGCTTACCTTAGTGTAGCACTCCTAACCCCTGTAACAACCCCACTGGAGCAATCGATAGGCCTCCGATAACGCTTATCGTGCACGGCCGCAATCGTCCAGGCACTTTAGGCCGCCTACTATTTCATCATGTCGGCCCCTCCGTCTCCCGACAGCCAGCTTCAGCAGCTGGATCAAGACACCACACTCGAGCCCGTTCAGTCCCTCAACTCCAAGCTCGACCGGCTTTTCCTACCAGACATGGCTACCGAAGCCCCTATTGCGGTAGCCACAGGCTCAACGCCGGCCAGTACCGTGAACGAAGAGAAGAGATGGTAGATACAAACCGAGCTTGTCATCGCAAATCGCCTGTTTCGTTTGCTGATGCCTGCATGATTCCAGGACATATCTCGACAACATTCGAAAGAACCCCGGCCCGTTCAGCGACCCAGATGTCGCCGGAACACCAGAGGCCTTCGAGCAGTTTGACAAGATGAAAGTATTGTAAGCAAAGGAAACGCACTCCGATAACATTGTTAGTCGCTAATATGGGGTCAACAGGGTTATGTACGTGTCTCGTCACTTGCCACGAAACCTCTGACACCTCCGACTAACGAGTTCCCAGTGGTGCCGGCGGTTTGGGTTGTGAAATACTGAAGAACTTGGCAATGTCCAAGTTCAAAGACATCCATGTCATTGATATGGGTAAGCGCAACCGACATCAATGGCAGCGCCCATGCTGACTGAAGCGTACCAGACACTATCGATATCTCGAACCTCAACCGACAATTTCTCTTCCGCCAGTCCGATGTGGGCAAGTCAAAATCCGAATGCGCAGCGCAGTTCGTCATGCGCCGTGTGAAGGGCGTCACAATCACCGCCCATAACTGCCGCATCCAGGACTTCGACGCCGACTTCTACAAGCAATTCCAGCTTGTCATCTGTGGCCTGGACAGTATTGAAGCACGAAGATGGATCAACGCCATGTTAGTATCAATAGCTGAAGCGGGCGAGGATGCCGACTGTCTGATTCCCTTGATCGATGGCGGTACAGAGGGTTTCAAGGGTCAGGCTCGTGTGGTCATCCCCTCAATGACCTCCTGTATCGAGTGTCAGTTGGATATGCATGCCCCTAGAGCCGCTGTTCCTCTCTGCACCATCGCCTCAATCCCTCGTCAGCCTGAGCACTGCATCGAGTGGGCGCATGTTATCGCATGGGATCAGGAGAAGCCGTTCCCCCAGCTCGACAAGGATGACCCTGCACACGTCTCGTGGTTGTACCAAAAGGCACTTGCGCGGGCAGAGGAGTTCAAGATATCGGGCGTCACCTACGCCCTCACCCAAGGCGTGATCAAGAACATCATCCCGGCTATCGCCTCCACGAACGCCATCATTGCTGCGTCATGCTGCAACGAGGCCTTCAAGCTTGCAAGCTCTGCGGCACCGACGCTTGGCATGGAGGAGAACTACATGATGTACTCTGGTAACGACAGTGTCTACACTTACACCTTCAGACACGAAAAGAAGGACGACTGCCCCGTCTGCGGACAGCAATCACGCCCACTGGAGGTTGACCCCAACAGCACCCTACAAGAGCTTGTGGAGTCATTCGCAACCCGGCCGGAGGCTCAGCTGAAGAAACCGTCCCTTCGAGGCGAGGGCAAGACGCTATACATGCAATTCCCGCCTAGCTTGGAGGAAAAGACGAGGCCAAATCTTGAGAAGACCATCAAGGAGTTGGGACTGGAGGACGGGCAAAACGTGATTGTCACTGACCCGGCGTTCCCACTCGAGTTCAACTTCTACCTGCGGTTCAAGGGAACTGCATAATCACCAAACCCCCAGAAAAGTGTCGAGGGACAATAATGAAGGTATGATATGTCCAAGACGGACGAAGCGCGGCGCTATGTGCCATAAAACAGGAGTTGATTATTTCAGGTGAAATATCAAGAGAATAAAATAAACGCATTGCCATGAATTAACTTTTTTCTTTCCATTGCCAGCCAGCCGTTGCAAAACCAGAAACCACGGGATATCTATAGGTATGGTACATGTGCAGTGAAGCTTCATCTAACCATGTTGATGACCTGCTGCTCGAGACGAATACACCTCGTCTTGAACTGCTTAACCGACTCCAAAAACAATTGATCGCTGTCCCACTGCCCGGTGCTCTCGATGGAGAAGATGAAGTGGTCGCGCACTCGGCCCAGCTTCACCTTGCCGTCGAACTCGGCATGGCGCAAGCACTCGCGACTGACGGTATCCTTCATGGCGTCCTTGACCACAGCCTTCTTCTCGCCCTCGTGTCCCTCGTACCCGCTGCCGGCAACAGCAGCCTCCTTCTTGGTGACCTTCTCGATGCCGATGACGCCCTTCGGGAAGCACTTAGCAAACTTCTCGGCGTCCTGACCCAGGATCGGTCGTGTGATGGTGATGGTAGGCATGAGACGGTATGATGCAGTGGCGACAGGGGAGAACTTTGCGTGGTCGGCGCCGATGCCCTTGTGCATGTGCATGTCGAGCTCGATGCACTGGCCCGGCCTCAGCTTGGCGATGAGGATGTCCGGGTTGACGGGACGGATGGCGTCCTCGCCGGAGAAGAACTCGACCTGGCGGCCTGAGGGGACAAACTCAATGTCCTTGGCGTAGACGCTCGCGTGGTTGAAGGCAACGTTCGGGTCCTTCTCGTTGGGGCTGGCGTCCGGGTTGCGGGTGCACTCGATACGTAGGCGCAGCTGCACGGTGTTGTAGTCGAAAGAGCCCTTGCCGCCATCCTCGGGCTTACGATACCACTTGAGGAAGTTGTGGATGCCCTCGGGGTTGCCGGTGAAGGGAATCAGGCCCAGGCGGTGGGCGAGGACCTCATCCTGGATGACGGAGGTGTTGTTCTCGATGTAGACGTTCTCGATAGCGACGGTCGGGATCTCGGCGATGAGGGTGCGACGGAAGGCGTTCGCGATGGAGGCGTCGACGCCGATCAGGGAGAATGACGCGTCGTGCTGGCTGTTGTGGTGGAACTGGATGCGAAAGTTCTCTGCGAACTTTTCGAGGTCCCAGGAGTGGTCTTCGCCCGGGTAGGTTCCCGGGTAGTCGGTCGAGGTCACATCGGTGACGGTCTCCTTGTTGATGCCGACTATCTGGAAAAGCAATAGGTTAGATGGACCGCCGACTGCGAAGAACGGCCTGTTGACTTACCCTCCGCCGGTCCAGCTCGGCTTGACTGGGTGTGATGGGCGCCATGGTGTGGTTTGTCACTATGGCTGAACAGCAAAAAGTTGCGATCGATAAGAAGGGAAATTTTTTGGAGGACCCCTCTATCAGCACCGAGAGTATGCGGCTTACGTACACACCCAGTGACATAGACTCACCCCCTTCTGGAAGGAAAAGTGGTCCCATAATTGGGGCCGGGGTCAATGACGAATCTCCAAATGCAGATGCGACGCCCTCGCACTTTTACGTCCTTCTGTCACCAAAACATTGTTATGATGAAGGTGAGATGTCTGTTCTCGATCAAGCCTCGATTCTGTGACTTGATCGAGGCAGACCAAGGGTGAGCATAAATCAACAGCACGCTCGACGATCCTCTGAGCGACGGATGATGTAGTCAACATCAACGCAGACTGATCTCTCAGCAACACCATTGTATCTCTCCGGAGATTTGGTTCTGGGGGCAGGAGCATTTATTTCACCACTGAAGCTAAGGCTCTTGCATCTGGCTTGGGTAGCTTTCTTGCGTCCAAGGGTGCGATCCGTCTGGTCAGGCGTGAAAGGAGCGATCTTGCGAAGGGAAAATAAAAATTCAAACGAGGTTGGCATGAATGTCCCATATTCTTTCCGTAAACGTATAATTCTTGTCAGGGACATTTTATAAGCAATTAATATTGAATTCTTGTAAAATACTAACTGTTCTAGCTGAAAAAGCTGACGCGTGGGTGTGCTTTTTGAGTACCCTCATTTTCGCTGAATGCTCTCCGATTCTTCCCTCTTACATATCTTGGTATATTTGCAATGTAATCACAACACCCACTCCCAAACACCTTGTGGAAATCCCTCTGCTTCTGAGTGCTGCCCACCACCTTTTCATCATCCTCTGCCGGGAAAATCACACCAACCCAAGTTTGATACGCCTTGCCTTCAGTAGTCGCACTCTCCTCATTTGGTGTGAAGATATTTTGGTTGGGACGGATATCAGTCCACTAGCGAAAGCGAGGATGAAAACCGCTGCGATATGCCTCACTCCTCAGGCAGGCTGTCCAAGGACCATTGCTCACCTGACTCTTCAAGAATTTTCAGCAAGTGAATCTTAACGGACTCAATACTAGTGAGCCTTCCTTCTCTCCTTTCTTTCCCTTTACCTTTGTTAACAAGATATTCTAGATGAACAAAGTCCCTTCATATGCACCCGAGAGTCCAGGAACATGCGAGGAAAATATAACTGTTGTTCACAGCCCTACCTTGTTATTCTGCTGCTCTTAGTGCTAGTACGCATTTGAAATTCATTGTGTGTCCACACCAATACTGGACGAGAAACCTCAACAGACCCGCATCGTCGCAGCAACCAGCCTCGCAGATGGCCCTTGACTCTGGTAGTCGGGCCTTGAGAGGCTGCGCGTCTTGCCCGATGGAGCTCTTTCGTCCCGAGAGCAAGACCCAGGTATGTTTCGAGAAATCAAAACAAAATATTTTGTTTCTGCTCCTTCCCAAAATCATCTAACAATAAGCAGCCTTCCTCATCACTAGCTGCGGCTGGTCAACCTGCTGCCAATACACCGAAGCTCGCATTCTCAACAACAATGCCAATGCCGTACCAGAAATTTGGTACCAGACGCTTCCGGTCTGCGGACTCCTCCGACGAGATCCAGAGAAAGAGCCTCTTTGGTCTCTTCGGTGGCGATAAGGAGAACCCAGGAGCTGGAACTACGCCGGTTGCTGCCTCGTCGCAAGGAACATCGAATTCGACCGACATCTCAATGGCACCCTCTGAGCGACTCGACATGATGATTGCTCCTATCGATGGTTTTCAAGCCGAAAATGGCGCCCAGATTGATCAGCATGCGTCTCCAAATGGCGTCACCGATCAAGTGGCTTCTGGCGACAAGAACACGCCTGAAATCGCTTCTCCGACGGCCAATAACTTCAGCCATATCACCAGCCTCACTGAGCACATCAACATTGCCAACGCCGATGCCAAGTCTGAGAATGGTGAAAGCTCCGCGCCTGACGATCACAGCTCGACGCAGATGAGCGAGAAAAAAGCCGGAAAGCTTCCAATCTACCGTCACAAGCGGACCGACACTGCAGTGAAGATCGTCGACAGAGAGTCGGCTGACGCTGTCCTGCTCCCATCCTCGACTTTCAGTCCCGTCAAGTCCATGAGCGACATCATTTCGACACAGACTGAGGCAAATTCTACCCCTCTTCACTCGAGCCACCTTGGTGAGACCCTCGCCGCGAACAAGCCAGCCGAGAATACGGTGCTTCTGCCGTCCGTTTCTTACGCCGTCTCGCATCTTGCCCCTCGCGCTCTTCCCAAGATTCCCACAGAGAAGCAGAAGCCGGATGAGATCCCTCCTCTCCCCTCTAGTTCATACGCCAGCCCCAGTCCCTCGCATGGCGTTCTCAAGACCTCTGGAGAGGACAAGAAGGCTACCGACAAGAAGGTCCACTTCAGTGACGCCGACGATGATGACGATGGATACAGTTCAGACGACTCTGACAAGACTGTGATTGCTGGCGAAAACGGATTGGTAGCGGCAGACAATTCGTCTCTGTCCCCTGACATTTGGAACGAGGAGTCGAAGCCCAAGATCTATCTGAAGGACGGCAAGCCGACATTATTTCAGCCCACAGCTGAGCCCGACTACTACACCAATCCTCTCTGGTCTCGCCAGTACCCAGAGATTCTCTCCAACGACCCCAACGTCAACCCTTACGCCAAGGACTACGCGGACAGCCTCATATCTCAGGATGGCAGCGAGTCCTCCTTCACTGATGAGACCAGCGCGAATACTGCGTACAACACAGGCCCTCGTGTACATCTTCCGTACCCAGGTCGTGGCCACCAGGACATCCCCCCCGATCCTCCGGGATTCGTCTACCCGCCTCCTTACAAGAACAAAATCGTCATCATGGTGGGAGGCCGTCAGTTCGTCTCCAGCGCGAACGTCCTCGGACGAAGCCCCTGGTTCGCCCACCTTTTCTCCCTCCCCATCTCTCAGTGGTTTCGCGACGGCGCTTTCCACATTGACAACGACCCGGACCTTTTCAGCCATATAATCCGCTACCTCCGTACCGGACAATACCCCTTTTTCTGGTGCGAGCGCAACGGTTTCGACCACGCAATGTACGCCATGATCCTTCAGCAGGCGCGCTTCTATCTTCTCCCACAGCTGGAGGCCTGGATTATGAAGAAGAAGTACATGGACGTCGTGCAGTCCGGGGTCAAGCACCGCAAGCTCACGATGCTTGAGTCCGAGGACTGGGTCCACTCGGTGAAGCTCAAGCGTGGCGATGCTTTCGAGATTGTGGGTGTCACCTCTACGTCTGGTAAATCTGGTTTATGCCATGGATATTGTGGGGCTAGCCATTACGAGGAAGGTCTGGATCAGGATGAGCAGATGGATGAGCAGATGGATGAGCAGATGGACGAGCAGAATGGCGAGCAGAACGGCGAGCAGAAGGCCAATCAGAAGAAGGGTGAGGAAGAGATTGAGCAGAAGGGCGAGGAGCAGGATATCGGCGACAAGTCGGAGAGCAAGGACGAGGATCTCGTTCATGTCTTCCTCACTGCAACGCGTAAGAAGGTCAATTTGGAGGCGCTGACCTGTGAGTACGATTGGCAATTTCCCTGAATCCGGTACGAGAGCTGCGGGGCGATGAGTTTGTTGATGATTATGGTTCAATGGCAATGGGATGTCGAGCTCGGGACGATGCTGGATGACCCCCCAAGAGTTGACCAGGATGACCATTGTATATATAGTTTTGTTTGATAACAGAAAGGCGTAGGAAAGCTCTACATCTATAGGTAGTCAGGCCTCGGAATAGCCTCAGGATTCTCTTATAATGACTCTCTCTTGCCCGATATTCCTAGGAAGTAAAATCAAAGCAAGCTCTAATAATTAGCCAATGCATTCAAGCCAGAATACGGGAAAGAGTGGTTGCTAAGGACGTCGTCACATGGCAGCCCAGAAAGGGATTGGCAGCCCAGAAAGGGATTGTCGCGACCTCCCGCCGAGTAGCTGAATATTAAGTAAAGTCGTTCCATGAAGCAGTATGACAGCTCAACCCTACCCAAAAAGGAAGAGATGAAAGCTTTTTTTACAGACTCTGCCTGTATTGGGTATCGAACAAGCGCGATCTCCAGATATCGGGAGGCAGGCGGTCTGCGGTCGACGCGAGAAATAGTAATATAGGCAGGTGCGGCATGGCGTTGGTTCCTTCCATGGTAAGCCGAACAAGGCACTGCTGCTGCTGCTGCTGCTGCTGCGAGCCTGTATTAGTAACGAAGACCTTTTGGCTTTGATTTAGACTTGATCTTCTTCCACATTTCTGAATCGCCTACTCCATTCTTCGTCGACAGTTTTCTCTCCAAAAAGGTATGTAAATGAGCCATGTCGGGAAAGTCTCAACGAGAACAAACTTAGCTAGCTAACGAACTTTAGAGACGTGGAAGGCGTGCCCCTTTGAGGTCCTGAGTCAATGCTCAGTTATGTACATCTAATCACAATTTGCATCAATGCACCTCCCATTTGCCATCGCTCCATGCCAGTGTTGCGCTGTGATGAGCGACAATCTAACCAAGAACTGGCAGATAGCTGCCCGAAGATTCGTCTGTGATTGGCCCGCATGCTGCGCAGGCGAGTTGGCTTCATTCATCATTCAAAGAGGCTCAGAATGAGGCAATGGTGGCTCACCTTCCAACACGCCAGAAGATGCAGCTGCTGGAAGCTGACACCGTCCCTTGCAGAACCAGGACGAATACGAGATTACCGAATGACTCGGCAATGACACAAAACTGGCTGCATCGTTCCATTTCTATTGCTAGCTTTCGAGCCCCGATATGAACCGGAGGGCCGGCAGTCCGGGGTGGCCACTCGACTCCATCCAACGACGTCGGACCCGGGCGTTTATGCGGAGGCACTCTCGCACGGAAATTCCACAAGAGGAAACTCAGCGCCGACACTCCGTATCCGCATCCGCATCCGGGTCCGGGACGTCTGTCCCTCGGGCCTCTTTTGCTTCGGTGGGCATCATGCGCAGCTCCGCAGACCTCAAGACCGACACACATGACATCCCGCTGCGTCAGCGCTTTGCCTCCGAGGCCGAGCCAAGCATAACTGCTTCCTTCCGTCATTATTCCGCGGAGAGAATGTGCCGGGTTGAAGTCGAATTAGACTTTCCCAATCGGAAGCGCTAGGCACTCCAGGGGTTCCCAGAAGCGACAGGAGGCCAGTTCTCGATGGAAAGCTTGGTATTGTGCAATTGCCTGTAAACATGAAGAAAACCAACAAGGAAACCGAAGCAACCAGAAGCTTGGCCTTCGATAAGCTTGCTTCTGTCCAATTGACACTACCATCGTATGCAACCAACTGTCAAGCCCATCTTGAGCATTCTCGATGAGAGACTTGAGCATCCCCCCAGTGCCCAGGTACTTTGCCTTTGGTACATGCGGGGGGGAAACGTTTCTCCAATTTGACGTTCCTTTAATTATGCCTTCAATCAGCAAGGTTAGGAAACCGAAGATCACTCAATCCACTCGCACGCGTATTCGGGTCCGTGGGCAGGAGTCGTCTGATACATCAAGTGTGTCACATGCAACTGACTCCCGCATAGAACGCATGCGGCCTCCAATGTGTATAAGGACGGGCCGAGTAATCTTCAATTTTACGCTTTCCTTTGTTCGAATCCAAGTTGTATTTAATTCAAGCCTCCTCACTTTGTCTCAACTACACGACTTTGTTAGCGGCGAGCGTGTTCAAACCCACTCTAAATTTCGGCTTCATTGTTAGTCAGAGGCCAACCAACAATCAGCACATAAAAAGGATACACTGAGACCGTCAGACACTCTGCTCGGAACACCCGGAAAACAACTCTCGACTCAGCCAAAATGCTCAACACAACAGTAACTCTAACCCACGTTACCCCGGTACCGGAGGGCATGTCAAAGGAGGACGCGATCGCTCTCATCCACGACGCGGAGCACCACATCAAGTGCGATCCCAACATGAAGGATTACACCAAGCGCACTCCCGAGATCCCGCCAACGGTGCCCCAGGACATTGAGCCCATTGCTGCGACGGAGTGCTACTCAGTCACCGACAGCGTGCCAACGCTGCTTCCCAAGGGTATCTGGGACAGGGATGCGGTCAGCGACTACGAATTCACGTTCACCAAGGACGGCAGCTTCGTGCGCACCAGCTGCCCACTCAGCGTTGTTTTGGAGACGCGCTGGACCGTCAGAGATGCTGAAGGCGGGGGAAGTGAGTTAGTTGAGGTTGTGGACATCAAGTGTTCCAGATTTTTGTCCAGCGTGGTGAAGGGGCAGTGCGACGTGAACTGGAAAGACTTTCACAAGAAGATCCTGGAGGGCAAGAAGTGATGCATCGAAGAGAAAAGAATTATTTGGTTGAGAGGAAAGATGTTGCGAACAAGACGAAGAGCCTGTAGATGACAGACATGAGTGGTATGAATAGATTCATATTCAGAGCGCCTCATGATCAGAGACGCATGCTTTCGTCAAAATGCTTGCTTGCTTGCTTGCTGGTGCGCCCTCGTACACGAGCTTACATGAGGCTACTTCGCCCGCCAATTTCCATGCTACCTTGGCCGTCTCTCATCTCACCACTACGGCCGACAACAAATTCTCTATAGATCCTTTGCAGTCTTGCTCGCTCCTGCGTGCTGATACTGGACCTGGTGCTCTCCAGAGCCTTCATCAAGTGGTCCAATCTCACCACAACCTCCTTGTCATCGACGGGCTTAGCCTCGCCGTCCGGACGTTGTGCATGCTTGACCCTCTTCCGAGCTTGCTTAATGCTTTCTAGCTTGGCAAGAATTGCGTTGTTCTCCACAATCTCTGCCGACCGACTGATCGCCTTCGTAGCAGGCGCCGCATCCTGCCCATACCTGAACTGCACGAAGCTGGGAATCGACCCGTTCGAGGAAGCCGATTTTCCGTTGACCTTGCCGTTGGTCGTAGGAGAGTGTGTGACATCATCCAACACGTCGTGAATTGCCTCCAGCTGTGAGTTAGAGACAAGCGCCTGGAGGTCTGCTCCAGAAAATCCTTCCGTCCGTCGTGCAATTTCCGTCCAGGCATCGTCAGACTTCGTCAATTCCTCGCTCAGTTTGACCTTGCTAGAAAGCGACTTTAGAATGTCGACACGTTCTTCCAGTGACGGCATGTCGCAGAGCAGGGACTTATCCAGACGGCCTGGACGAAGCAGTGCAGGATCTATCAGGTCCGGTCGAGAAGTGGCTGCGAGTACGTACACACCAGAGAGGCCTTCTGCACCGTCCATCTGAGTGAGGAGCTGGTTCACCACGCGGTCCGTCACTCCCGTAGAATCATGTCCACGCTTCGGCGCAATAGAGTCAAATTCGTCGAAGAACAGGACGCAAGGCTTGGCGGCCGATGCACGCTCGAAGAGATCGCGGACACTCTTCTCCGAGGCACCGATGTACTTGTTGAGAATTTCAGGTCCCTTGACGCTGATGAAGTTGAGACCACATTCTCCAGCCACCGCACTTGCGAGAAGGGTTTTGCCACAACCGGGGTATCCGTACAACAGGAGACCAGACCGCAGCCGCAGAGGGCATTGCTCGAAAATGGGCGCGTATTTTGTCGGGTATTGCAAGGTCTCAAGGAGAACCTGCCGGGTCTCCGTCAAACCACCGATCGAGCTGAATGTTGTGGTAGAGCTCTGCAGAGAGACATTTCGAAGTGACGCCGGCGTGAAACCCTTGAGGGCGCTGTCGAAATCAACGCGGCCAAGGTTAACGGCACCTCCCTCGTTATCCTCGCTGACTGATCGAATGATTGCCTCATTGCGAGCCCTTGCGACGAGCAAGCTAATGTCTCCTGGCATGTAACCGTCTGTGAGACCAGCGACGTCGAGGAAGTCTAGATCAGGATCCAGAACGAAGCCTGCTGCTGTCCCGTTCCGCTGCTCATGACTGCCTTGGCTGCCTGCGTCCATCCAAGCGCTATCTTCACCTGCTGCACTGCCATCCGCTGTTTGAGGTCGACTACCATCATGAGACACCTGCGGAACGTCTTCAGGAGAAACAGCATCCTGTCTCACAATGGACTCCATGACCTTGCGCCTTGCTTCCTTGTTTGGCGCCTTTAGGTCGATGATTTCACGAACGACGTGACCTCCAATTATAACATTATTCAAAGAATCCTTGCCTTCGGATGTCGCCAGCAAAACCACGCCAGTCTCCGCGTTGCAATATTGACGCACAATGCTGCTGATGATTTCACTCACTTGGCGGCTGCGTCCGTTGTCGTTGCCGACTTGCAACTCCGTTTCCACCGGACACAGCTTATCGAGGTCGTCGAGAACTACAACAGCCTTGCCCCCTAGTCGGGCTCCCCAGCTTGCTGACATAAAAACCTGATTCAGCGTGTCTTTGATAGTTGCGACTCTCGTCTCGTCGTTAACAAGCTTTCTGCATGGGAAGTATGTGGTGTGAAACAGTAGGTCTTTTCCGAGCTCGTGAGCCAGTGACTTGGCAACAGCAGTCTTGCCTGAGCCAAGGGCACCAGTAAGGAGAGTCGAAGATAGATGAGAGAGGTGACTTCGAAGATCTTGCAGCAATTTGTCAATGCCCACAAGCTGACCATCATAAGAGGGCTGCAACTCGGCAAGACTGTCGTTGTTCATCCACGGGGGACGAGGGACCGGGTCACGGAATTCGATATTGATCTTGTCGCTGAGTCCCAGTACCCATTTTGTCGACGATCTGAGTGGATCGCTGTTGATGGCAGTCGGGTCGAAGCGCACGACACCACCTTCCCAGCCTTGAGGAGCCTCCAACCCGTCGTAGAGACCAATGACTGATCCATCGGTCAGAGGACCACTAAGAAGCGAAGAAGAATCCTTGCGAGCTCCATACATATGCTTGAATTGCTTTGAAGCTTCTTCCTTTCCAGCTTTGGACTCGCCGCCGAACTTCAAACCGTCTGATGTCGACTTCTTGGAGGCTGCAAATGGGTGGATGATCAGCCTCTGCACGGCATCTAGTGGCCATTGCTGAGGCGCTGGCTCAATTTTGATAATGCCGCCTACAGCGCCTGTGAAGCCCAAAGTTGAGCACAACGGCGAAGACAGCGCGATTGTTTTGCTGTCAGGAGGATCATCCCAAGCCCGCAAATGCGCGATAACCTTGGTCGAGATCTTGGACGCGTTGGACGCTGCTTCAGCGTCCTGCTGCGGCTTTTGCGGGTTGGTGCTGGGTTGGGGGGTTGGACGCAGTATATTGACCGAAACGTAGTTTACACCTCGGAAGTCCTTGGTATAGAGAATGTCGCGGTCGACCCAAACACTGAAGTCTTGAATCGTGATGTCCTCGTCAAACCACTCCACGCATGCCGTCTGGTCTACACCTCGGAGACACAACGCCGGTTTTCGCTCCTCTCGCGCACTTCGACGACGAACTGTGCTCGCGCCGCTTCGCTTCGATTTGGATGTGCTGGCCACGCTGCGGTTCTCCCCCAACGAATGCGACGTCTTGGCTCGGGTCTTTGGCGCAACAATGACTTCGGCGTTCGGTGAGATTTTCGCGAATGGAAAATCGGTTGGTGGCGGGGGATCGAGCGATACGACCTTGATGTTGGCTGTAGAAGTTGGCGACAGATGCAACGTGACGGCGTGCGGCTGGACGATGGTACCGGTGCTCGAGAGGAAGGCGGGGTTCGGTAAGGCACGGACTTGGTATTGCAGGTTAAGTTCGAGGAAGTTCGCGTTGAGCTCAATCATTTCCCAGTCTTCCGGCGTAAGCGGCTCAATGTTGATCGTGTGCGCAACCGGAGGATCGACGTGTATGGAGGCTGTCACCTTCTGCCCATCCGAGAGTCCCAAAGTGTTGGCGAGCGTGGCATCAATTTCAACCTGTGCCACTTCTTGCTCGCGTCCACCACTCCTGCCACCATTGATCCCGTCTCGTCCGACTATGGGGGCGACTTTGCGCTTACTCGGCATGCCGGTCCAGCCCACGAAGACGGACCGTTGTTGTGATGCGCCGGACCCGGAGGCGCTCGCGGAGGAAGGTCGGTAATTGAGTTCCACGACGACATTTTGCGCGGGCTATTGCGCAATTGTTAATTCGAACTCTAAGGCAGATAGTCTAGGCATTACTTACGGTGTTGACGTTGACGAGGAGCGAGACCAACGATGCGGGGAGGTTGACCAGGCAGCTCTTGAGCTGGGGGGAGAGAGAGATCTCCGCCGGAGTCGATTGCGCATTCCGCCGTGGAGCCATGACAGCAATTGACTGATCAGCAATCCATGAGGTTGTACAAAACAAAAGAGTGGCACGCTCTTAGCAGAGAGCAAGATAGATTCGCAGGGCGTGGTTCGCTCTAATGGTAGCTGGAGTCTGGAGAAGCTAGCTGTTGGAGCTGGAAATGAGAGATGAACCGAGACTGGCCTAGGCATGTGCCGACGCCGAGGCATTCCCGGCATGGAAAGTCACCTCCACCCCATTGGGCCCGAACACGGGGTAGCTGCAGGAGTCCTGTACGTATCTTTTCCGGACCCCCTGGCTTTTGGGGAGCAGGATCCATATGTTACGCCACATTGTGGCTTGCCCCGAAAATCAATTAACGCGTGTCTGACACGCTCGCGTCTGGAAGTCGCGTAATTTCGTGGTTTGGTCTCCCGGTCAATGTCTTCCCCCCTGGCGCATTGATCAGGTCCCGTCGATTCTTCTTCCAGCCCCCACCCGGCGCCAAACTTCGATTCGATAGCAGAAGAACAGAACCGAGCCCGAGACCACTCCCCGCTGCCGTCGCAAAGACGAATTATACCCCTTTCACAACTGCACCTGCGTCTGTCAGACTAGGTCATTGAGCTTCCAAGAGACAATTCTGCAGTCGAGACCCCGCAAATTCTGTCAAGATGGCGCTTCGTCAATTCAAGGCGCCGGTAGCGTATGAAGCGCAGCAGAGTAAGCCAGACCTGCCAACTCGATCCCACACCGCTGTCGCAAGACGATCCTAACTCGCGCCTAGCCGCTCTCGAATCCTTCCTCAAAGACTTCAAGGCGTCGCCTGAGCAGACCATCGCACATGCCCTCGGCAACATTACGATAGACGAAGATGACTTTAGCGACGACGATGAATTAATGGAGGACGATGGTGCCCGCCAGACTCGCCGGCGGGATAAGACCCCGCCCGCACACAAATACCAGGACATGATGCAGAAGCTTGCAGACCGCCAGATTGACGAGGTTTTGGTCGACCTGGACGACATCGCAGCTGTGGGCAAACCCGAGTAACTTGTCTGGCATGAGACTGAGGACTGACGATAACTCTAGTTCGAATCACAAATCGGCGACGAGCTCCATTTGGTGGAGTCTATCGAGACCAACACCAAGCATTATGTCGAATTGATGTCAAGAGCGGTGGACAAGCTTATGCCCAAGCCTAGCGCCGACACAACGTATGCCCACTTGCAACCCCTTGGAAATGCTCAACACTAACGGCAAAAAGCTTCAAGGATGACGTTCTGGATGTTTTGATGGAGCGAAGACAGAGGAGAAACGAGCAACTGCAGCGTCAAGCTACTGAGCCTACGGATGGCCAGCTCCCCGACCCTACCGTCGCCGAGGACAAGTTCCCCGCCGAGCTCACTCGCCGATATACCCTCGTCTTCAAGCCTCGATCCGATTCCCCTGACCACCCAGCGAAGGCCTACGCCGTGCGTAACGTCAAGGGCGACCAGCTTGGCCACCTGATTACCGTTCGCGCAATCGCCACCAGAGTTTCAGACGTCAAGCCCATCGTGCAGGTCAGCGCCTACACCTGTGACCGTTGCGGCTGCGAAATCTTCCAGCCCGTCAACGAGAAGTCATTCGGTCCGTTGACCGTATGCCCCTCAAAGGATTGCGAGATGAACCAGGCCAAGGGTCAGCTTCACCCATCTACGAGAGCCTCCAAGTTCTTGCCCTTCCAGGAGGTCAAGGTTCAGGAGCTTGCGGAGCAGGTTCCCATCGGTCAGATTCCTCGTACCTTGACTGTTCTGTGTTACGGTACCTCGGTGCGCAAGGTCAACCCAGGCGATGTCGTCGATATTTCGGGTATCTTCCTGCCCACCCCTTACACTGGTTTCAAGGCTATGAGGGCCGGTCTTCTGACCGATACCTTCTTGGAGGCGCATCACATCGTCCAGCACAAGAAGGCCTACTCCGAAATGATCGTGGACGCCAAGCTTGTTCGCCGCATCGACCAGTACAGGCAGTCCGGCCAAGTCTACGAGCTTCTTGCAAAGTCCATTGCCCCCGAAATCTATGGACACCTCGATGTCAAGAAGGCACTTCTCCTGCTTCTCATTGGTGCTCCGTTGAAGCAAGCTGAGGATGGCATGAAGATTCGTGGTGACATCAACATCTGCTTGATGGGTGACCCTGGTGTGGCCAAGTCCCAACTGCTCAAGTACATCTCAAAGGTCGCTCCCCGTGGTGTCTACACCTCCGGTCGCGGTTCCAGTGGTGTCGGTCTGACGGCTGCCGTCATGCGTGATCCTGTAACCGACGAGATGGTTCTCGAGGGTGGTGCTCTCGTTCTCGCTGACAACGGCATCTGCTGTATCGATGAATTCGACAAAATGGACGAGAATGACCGCACAGCTATCCACGAGGTTATGGAACAGCAGACCATCTCCATCTCCAAGGCTGGCATTTCCACCACTCTCAACGCCCGCACTTCCATCCTTGCCGCCGCTAACCCCATTTACGGCCGCTACAACCCTCGCATCTCCCCGGTCGAGAACATCAACCTCCCCGCCGCTCTCCTCTCTCGTTTCGACATCATGTTCTTGCTTCTTGATACCCCATCTCGCGAGTCTGACGCCCAGCTCGCCAAGCACGTCGCCTATGTCCACATGCACATGAAGCACCCGGACATTGGCACCGACTCTGTTGTTTTCTCACCGCACGAGGTCCGCTCCTACGTCGCTCAAGCTCGCACCTACCGCCCTGTCGTCACGGAAGGCATCAACGAGTACATCATCAAGACGTACGTTCGTATGCGCGAGCAGCAGCGCCGCGCAGAGAAAAAGGGCCAACAGTTCACCCACACGACGCCGCGTACCCTCCTCGGTATCATCCGTCTCGCCCAGGCCCTCGCCCGTCTGCGTTTCTCCAACGAGGTTACCAACGACGACGTCGACGAGGCGCTGCGCCTCATTGAGGCCTCCAAGGAGAGTCTCGCCGCCGAGCAGAGCAGCTCCGGACGCTCGCGTCTTAACGCGAGCAGCAGAATCTACAACCTGGTCAAGTCGCTGGCCGACAGCGGTGCCTGCCGCGCCGACGATGCCGACGACGAAGACGATGAGCTTGGCACCGAAATGTCCCTCCGCAAGGTCAAGGAGCGTGTCATTGCCAAGGGATTCACCGAGGACCAGTGGCTCGCTGCCCTGGAGGAGTACAACGAGCTCGATGTAAGTTTTCACCCACAACCCAATCTTTCTTTTCTTCAGAGACATTCTCTAACCCATCGGAAAATAGGTGTGGCAAACGGCTGGCAACGGCACCAGATTGGTCTTCATCACGGCCGCAGGAACGCACGACTAAATGTCAGCGGACGATGGTACTGTCGGGGTTGCGTAGTGTCGTTGAAAAATGTTATTCGTCATATACGGCTTTGCAAACTGAAGCTGCCTTGGGATTGGCGTTGTTGGGTTTATCATGGATGAAGTGACCAGAGAGGCGGAGAGGCTGACTTTTCCCAACCACTCGAATGAAGAAGATAATGAATCACAAAAGATGCCAGATACATCTCAGTCCTTCGTCTCGTCCAATGATCATGATGTCAAAGTAGTCGCAAAGCTCATTTCTTTTACGTGGATTGGGAAATTCTCATAACTTCAGATGATGGTAGTATAGTACAAAAGCTCTTCCTTTTTTCACACCTCCCACATCTTTGGTACACTGATACATGTATACACTGCCCGCCCCCACCCGCACTTCTCATTCCATCGTCCCATCCGTTTAGTACTGCAGCATACGCGTGTTGAGCAAGCTCGCCCGCTCCAACTCGCCGAGTATACCACCACCAGCGACAGTCCACTTCTCACCGACAGAACCGGCGTCAACGCGCGAGCGATACATGCCGCTGGCAGCCCAGTACTCCATCACGGCGCGGGCCTCGTCGCGGCTGACGCCGCTGACGTTGAATGTCTCGACGTTGCGGACGGACTCGTAGATGCGGTCGTCGTAGCCCTTGCCGTACGGGTCGGGCGTGGGAACGTGCAGGCCCTCGGCAGCGGCGGCGGACTGCGCGAGGGCGAGCTCCATGGACGGGGAGCGGGGCGCGTTGCTGCGGCTGGTGGCGGCGATGACGGCGCCGCCGTTGGCGAGGGGCGTCTTGCCGCTGAGGGCGTCGACGAAGAGGCGGACCAGGGTGAGGTCGTGGGCGTGCACGAGGTTGAAGGCCGGGTCGCGGTAGGCGGAGATCTTCATGATGTGGGAGAGGCCGTCGAGGGTGAGGAGGACCGGGGGGCCGCCGGGGGCGGTGGTCAGCTCGGACCAGAGGGCCTGGAAGGCGGGCCAGGCGAACTCGGTCTCCTTGGCGGCGTTTGCGATGTCGTAGAGGGTGCCGTCCTTGGGGACGTGGAGGAGCTCCGGGTACTCCTTTGTGATCTTGTGCTTCTTGAGGACGGCCCCGTTGGCCTTCATGATTTGCTGCAGGAGGTTGAAGCAGTAGGTTGGCTGGTAGAATTGGAGGGGCTTGGAGTTGGGGACGGGGCTGTAGTCCGTGTTGGAGTTGGTCAGGTCTTGAGCTGAAGTATGTGTTAGTTGTGGTGATGCTGCTTGTGGAGTGAGTGAGCATACCTTCGGGGATGTTAATGACAACCCAGTTGTTCATGAGAGCGTGAGCCATGGTTTGCAGCAGCAACATGCTCTTGCCTCCAACTTTGTCTCCCGTCAACACCGTCCTCAACGTCTGCCTCTCCTGGACGGCCTTGTCGACCCTGCTGACCAGCTTCACCGTCTCCTCCCTCACGAGCATGTGCGGTTTCCTGAACAGGCCCCAGGGCTGGTGGATCTTGAACGCCTCGAGCGTGCGCAGCTGATCGACGAGCTGATCCGGCAGACCGACCATGGTCCCCTGGGCCTCGGCCGAAGACATCGTGGTCCCGTCAACCACTTTCAGGCCCTCGACGAGCAGCGCACTGTTGTTGCTGAGCGTGATGCGCTTGCGGAAGGCCTTACGCTCTCCCGGCGCGGGCTTCTTCACCTTGATGTTCTCCCGCTTCTTCTTGGAGTTCTGGTTGATCTTGCCGCGACGGATGTGCTTTCCCCAGTGTTGTACCTTGCGCATGGTCGAGGCGTTGGCGCCGCCGGCTGCGTGGGCGGAGGTGGTCGAGAAGAGGGCAGAGCCGGAGGGGGCGGCGGCCGCATAGGAGGTGATGACGGGGACGATGCGCTGCGAGAGGACCCGGGGTGCTGCTACTGCTGCGGCCGTCGTCGGCCGGGTGAGGCACCGCGCGCAGTTGGCGGAGGCCATTGTGGGTGATTTCGGTGCCCGGGACTGGCTGTTTCTTGCTCGTGTGTCTGTTTGCCGGTGAATCTTTATCAGGCCATTCGGATTGGCACAGTCGGGGGTGTTCGGTTCCGTCCGAAGCAGCTCGTCGAGTCGCCCTTTTGGTAGGTCGTCGTCGTGCGATGTCTTTCCCCAAGCTCCAAAAAGTTCGTAAATTCTCGGGCTCGTTAGAGGCACACCCCTCCGGGGCTCGTAGGTCATTGAGCCAATTGCAGCGCTGATTGGCGGGGCGCTGTTGGTCGGCGGTGCGGTGGCAGTTGATCCGATCTAATCGCTCGCCGCCAAAATTTCTGGCAGAAAAAAAGTTCTGGATAATCCCACCTGCAGGCGCCCCAGATACGCTCCCCCGTTACGCCGTACAACTCCAGACATCTGCACACTCCAAACCTCCCGGAACGTCGCCATTCCGAACCAAACCACGAAACAAAAGCACGCGACACAGGCTATTGAAATGGCGCTCCCCGTTTCGCGCCCCAAGCTGCCCGTCGCAGTCAACAAGCCCACACCCTACAACTTCGACCTGGGCCTGCTGCTCGCCAACGACCCCAACCCCCTCGAGCTCGACCAGTCCGCCATTGAGGAATCCCTCGCCGCCACAGCTCGCGATGGCGCCCAGGCCCTCATCAACCAGCTCCTGACCACCTGCCCCCTCCAAAGCACCTCCGACGGCGTCCTCCTGACGCTCCCGCCCCCCTCGACGGACCTGCCGCGCGAGAAGCCCGTCCCCAAGGCCAAGGAGCCGACCAAGTGGGAGCGCTTCGCCGCCAAGCGCGGCATCAAGCCCAAGACGCGTGAGCAGCGCAAGAACCTCGCCTTCGACGAGGACACGCAGGAGTGGCGCCGCAAGTGGGGTTACAAGGGCCTGAACAAGAAGGGCGAGGACGACTGGGTTGTCGAGGTCGATGCCGAGAAGGAGATGAACCGCCCCGAGGGCACGACGATCCGTGGCGACAAGCGCAGGGAACGAAAGGAGAAGATCAAGCGCAACGAGAGGAAAATGAGAAAGAACCAGCGCGAGGCGGCTGGCAAGCGGTAGAGAAAAGATGGAGACCAAAATTGAGTAATGCTTTTAGGTTCGGCATGGGTTGGCGTTTTATTGGCGGTGGTTATTCATATCCAGTCTGTATGCTTGGGCGTCGGATTCTTAAAAGGAATGGAACGGCTTCACGAGCCAGATCTCTGGCTCTGATTACATCAACCTTGACCGGGCACTGGTGCTTTGAATTGTGAACTTGTGGTCCTCATTTTCCACCGCGGGCTTCGTCTGGCCGCGCTTGACCTCGTGCTACATATATAATCCTTCATATAGTACACAGATCCCACCGAACCCCCTCAGTCATACTTATTCGTGAGCTGTGTCCGTGTCCCCCGACCTAGCCAGCATTTCGTGAATGCTCCTCATCCCCATGTCCTGCTATGCTACTAAAGACCAAACATCGCTAGATTCGTAGCTCCTCACAAAAGTGCAGAAAAGAAGAATATTAGGTACCCAAATCTGAGCTGCCTGAAGCGCGAACGCAAGACGGCGGCTCGGGTTGCGAGGATCCTGTTCGTTGATGCAAAAGTAGCCCAACGCAGTTTCCTAAAGGGATAAAACGACGGCTTTTGTGATACGATTCGATGCCCTGGGGTATACCAAATAGCATGATGCTGTGTCGCAAACGAAGCGAAACCCAATCTGCAATCTCTATGCGGTCCGTCACCTGGAGATTTTTGCAACCACTCGGACAGCATCAAGATAGCGATGGGATGGAAGCGCATGAAGGGGAAAACGAAAGTCGTTAACGGCGTAAGGTCGTCGTCGGTAATGTAATGTTGATGCAACTGCTCCATATGCACACGAGTTCCGCCTGGGTATTCGAGGTTGAAAGAAACTGTTGATGGTTTCTATGTTCTGCTTTAGAAACCGAGGGGCGAGAGAGGCTTGATGGGTGACAGAGGTCGCAGGTCGCTTGAACCTCGTGGCGCGTCGCGGCCGCTGTCGATCGTCAGAGTTGTTGCCATGGTCGAGTTAGATGCGACACTGCCGTTGGACTCAGAGAGTTGGAGGGGCTTTTTTTTTAGCCGCCGATCCTTTGGTTGCTCGGTACTAGCGTTTGAGTGCTTGCTGCTGTTGTCAGACGGTGTTGCGGCCCTCTCCAAAGTAATCGTTGGTTCCTCCGGTGTTGGTTCCTGTGATGACTCCTTGGATGGCTTGCGTGGCTCTGACAGGCCCTTCGGGGGAGGTTGGTCGAAAAGCTGATACTCCTGTTCGATGAACTTTGCCTCGTTCTTGCAGCCCTTCCAGCAGTCGCGCCAATCGCAAACCAGGAATCTGAAGCAGAAAGCATCAATCTTCATGCAGGGCTGGAAGCAAATGCAAAGGTTTCGGAAGTCCATCTTGTTCTTGTCCGAATGGGCCAAAAGTAGGCTGAGGTGGCAGGTGATGGCGAAGAGCAGGTAGTAGTTGAACGGCGATAGGTTAGACAGCTCCTCGACCAGGAGTGGAGGAACGGTTTCGTAGCCAGCGCATTCCCTCGCAACGCGTTCCTGTGCCTCCTTCGGGAACAGCTCATCGGGAAGCTCTCTCAGCCATGCCTTGAGCATAGAACCGATAATGTTGATGTCGTACAAGTCAGGCTGCTCGAATAAGTTGACGTCGTATTCTAGGAATCTTGTTAGTGCGCTGGTTACATCTGCGTGAATTGTTTCGTCAAACCTTCGTCGAATCTCCTCTGCCACTTCTTGATCTGGGGTCCACTACCCGGCACACGATACAAACCCTCGACATCGCAGCCCTTATAATTCAGATAGTCGATTGCGCGCCATGGGAAAGCAGGCATCCAGAACTCAGTCTTGTCTCTAGAGTCCTCCAAACGCTTCGAAATACGTGTGCGTCGTGTTTGCTCTACCAGAGGCAGGTTGATAGTCTTAAGCTGGTAGTGTTCATCGTCGATGACAGGCTCCTTCTCCGTCGTGCTGCCACTGCGGCCGCCCTTTCCGAAAAGACGATTGCTGATCATATCTCTTCCGCTCTTCAAACCACCGAAAAAGCCTCCATTTGCCGAAGAGGAATTCTGGCGGGGGTGGTGCTCCTTTTCTCTCTGAATCTCCTTGTTCCCCTTCTCCCTCAGGTTTTCTTTGTTGCCCATGTCTCGTGGCGAACCGCGGTCTTCTGAGCGGTTCCGCGCCGTGGAATTGACCATTTCCTTGATTGACCTGTCAGTTGCAGGTGCAGGCGCTGACGCCTTGCGTGGGTTGTAAGGGTCGGAGGGGATGTGCGACGGCTCGGGTTCGCTGATCGTTATTGGTACGGGGCTCGGCTGCTTGTCCCTAGAGCTTGAGCCGTCCTTGTCGCGGTCCTTGTCGCGGAGGGACTTGTTACGGGTCAAGAGACCGAAGGGCTTCGACTTGCCCTTCTTCGACGAAGAGGGTTGGGAAGCGGAGGGATCGAAGTCGGCAGCGGAGGCGACTGACACGTCGGACTTGGACGGCAAGGTGGGTGCGGGCTTTTGGACGGCGTTCTCAGCATAGGACGAGTCGGCTGGTGAAATGGCAGATGGGTTAGCGGCTGAAGAAATGGTCTCACGATAGGCGAAACGGGGGATGGATCAGGTGGTGGGCCCCGGCAGCACAGGCAGTGGGACACTGCGGTCTCAAGAAGGAAAGTTATCCTCGTACCTGAAGGTTGGGTGGGTTGGGTGGTGCTCATGGGAGCACTGTCGGGGCCCCTCGACATAGTTTCGCCTCTCGAGTCAGGGTTCTGGCTCGGGTTCTGCTGGTGGTTATGGCGCGAGGGTTGCTGCTGATGGTGGTGGTGGGCGGGCGAGGATGAAGATGCGAGAGAATGGGACGATTTGGACGACTTTGTGAAATTGAAGAAGAAGCCGCCCTTGGAGGCTTTGGTGCTGCTGGAGCCAGGGGAGGGATGGTCGAGGCGGTGCTGAGAACGGGGGCTGATGGGGTGTTGCTGATGATGCTGGCGAGGGGGCGTGTCTTCGGACGCGCGGTGCAGGGCGGAGGAAATGGGCGGATACTGCTGAAATTCGTCGTCGTCGTCGTCAAAGTTTCGATGTTCGTCAGCCAGCTGTAGAGACTGTTTGCGACTGGTGCTGGGTCTTTTCGGAGTGAACCTAAAGGGAGAGCGCGGAGATCTGGGAGAAGATTGCGATTTGGAGCCAGCGCTTGGAGGGACGGTAGAGGCGAGGGTTTCAGCAGAGCGCGGAACGTCCTCAGGCTGGTGGTCGGCGGACTGAGATTCAGACAGCGTCAGCGGCTGCGGTGCATGCTTGCGACCCATGGCAGGAGATTAACGTGCCCCCGGGGGCTCTGGCAGGCAGGCAGGCAAGTCGCTGGGTAAAATAAGTGTTTTGGGGGCCCGGTCAGAGAGGCACAGGACTCGAAGGCGACACAAGGCGGCGTATGCGCAGGCGTGTGGGCGTATTGTAGGCGTAGGTAGGTGAGCGAGGATGTTGGAGGTGGTGGAGGTGGTGGTGGTGGTGGTGGTGGAGGACAGCGGCTGCGGGAGCGCCAAAAAGAGGACCAAGAGCAGGCAGGGCAGAGCTGCAGCAAGTCCCAGTCAGGTAATCCGTACCGTATGAATCCGACAGGTAGGCGCAGGGTGTCGAGGTACCTCGCCCTTGGAGATGAGATGAGCCAGGTATCCGTAGAGGCGTGGTAAGGCCCCGAATGTGAGGAGGATGGGGGCGAGGCCAAGTATCAGGGCAGGCAGGCAGGCAGGCAGCGGGCAGGCCTCTTAGATGTCGGTGCCTGTGAGGTGTAGTGTGTGCAGTGGTGGCACTTCGAAGGACAGCAGCACCTCCCTCCCTCAGATCTTTGGTGGTGGTATCAACAGTACCGGGCAACAGTGCAACAGCACACAGGGCAAAGCAGCGAACGTGGATCAGGATGGGATGAGATGGGATGGGACAGACAAGCCCAGTAACGGCCCCAATCCTGATTCGTTGTCTGCCGCAGGAGGGTGAGCTGTAGCTGTTTCGGTGTGCGCACTGGGACGGGGACGGACGGATCACGCATCTGTCGGGGATAGAAAGGGGAGGGGGTGTAAGGGCAGGCAGACAAACAGAGCTGCTGTTCTGGATAACAAAAAAAACGACAACCCTGTGACAGTGCGGTTACCCGGCTTGTTCCTAAGGTAGGCCAGGTGGGCGGCGCAAGGGGCGTGTGTGAATGCAGGAAAGGTGGATGAGGATGGAGTGGTGAAAGATGGGATGGTGAGTTGTGAAATGTGTGTAATGAGAGCAGGTAAAGAGGGTGAGAGATGGTAAGAGGGTAAGATGAGGTGCGGTGAGGGACTAGCAGCGCAAAGGTAAGGTGACAATGGCAACCTGAAATTGTAAGACCAAAAGATAGGTAAGGTAGGTTGTATTGTACAGATAGATGGGCAATGGAAGGTACCTGAAGGAAGGAGATGATGAGGTAGCAGCTGTGGGATGGGGAAGTGGATGTGGATGTGGACTCTGAGGTTGGAGTGAGGTGAGTGAGGTGAGGTGCCAGCAGCCGGAGCCAGGGAGGCTGATGCAACTATGAAATGAATGGGCGTTGATTTGGGCCTCAAGGAGCCGGCCTTTCGGTGTCGTCTTCTGGGTTGTTCCCTCCTTGTCTACCTGTGCACAAACAGCAGGTGGCTGAAAGGGTTCGATGTAGATAAAATGGGGGATTGATGGAAAAGAGAAGAAGAATATGTGCTCCCAACTGTCAATGCTGTCTGTCTGGTCTGGTGAGGTTGCTGCTGAGGAGCGCAAATCCGGCCATATGCCTCCCGTCGATTGTGCCTGTCTCTGTAGGTAAGGTACCTAGGTTGTCTGTGTCGGCTTGTACCTGTGCCTGTACCTGGCAGCCAATGGCGGCAGCTGCAATCTGCAAGGTACAGATACAAGTGAAAGTCCCGAGGAGAGGGAGCCAGAAAAGAGCAGAGGGGCCGGGCAGCTGGCGAGTGAGGTCTGGGCCGGTGCCACGGTGCGGATCCGTAGTGAACTGAACCAGTGCTGTTGGTGTTGGAGCTGGAGGATAGGTGAGGAGAAGAGGGGGCGGAGGGGAAAGAGGCCTTCGTTAGTTGGGCTGCCAGAAGGAGGCTTGTCGGGTGGGTGTGGATCTGCCCCTGCCCTGCAACAACATCAGCTCCACTGGTGTAAATCAGACACGCGCCAGGTGGGAACACACCAAGACGTGAAGGTGGGCAGAGATCACCACTGCCTGGGGAGCCCGCGACGCTAGCACTCGAGTGTTCCACGCCAGCTGTGGGGGCCCTCAGGCTTAGCGGCCATGCACCCACCGTGGGCTGTGTCGAGTCGCCGCGCTGCTTCCGTGTTCAACAACACCTCCCGTCATTATCAGATTCCATGAATAGAAGCTCCAGCCCAGCCCGGCCCAGTCCGCCTCACATCATCAACACGGCCAGGTCGAAAAGAAGACGAGAAAAGCGTCTACAAACGAACCCATCAGCGTCAAATGAATCCATCAGCATTCCACTTCCTCCTGCCGTCTTCGCCCTCGCCCCCAATCGCCACAAACGGCCTACATGCGCTGCTTGCGGCATGGCAGCGCCGTCAAGTTTGGCCAACCTGGATTAGACCAACGGCTTTGGGCCTGTCCGTCTGTCCGTCACGCACGCACAGATCAGGACCCGGTTGTCTTCTAGTGTCGATTGGGCCCGCGCACGTATGTTTGACATTGGCGTCGCTCGAGCTATTGGAAGCCGTGTCTCCAAAGAATCCCCCCTAACGTCTCTCCCGGCTCCAATGCGACAGGAACCCGTCGTCGATCGAGTTAGACTCTCATGTCAACGAGAGGAATGACAACCAGACCATTCGTCAATGACGCCTTGCTCGTTTCCAGCGCCAGTCCGCCAGACTCTAGAGCAACGTCAACGCTTTGGATCCCTCTCCTCCCTCTTGGACCCTGTTCGTATTCGCAAGCAGCAGGAACAATACACTGAAATCCCGCCCATGGCAGCATCCGCCCTCGGACTCGGGGCCGCCTGGTATGCGTGCGACGGAGGACACGCGTTGGGCAAAATTCTTTTTGATTACAGCCAAAGCGTGCCGCCTCATCTTTGATGACCCTTTGCCATTTTGATGAAAAGGACGTCGCGTTTTGCAATATCACAATGCCTTGTGCCAAGGCGAGAAATGATGCCTCGTCTCGACTCTACAGGGCTGCCCGGCGACCCGATTTCTGAAACACAAACGTTTCTATGGATAGCCATGGATGGGATTCGCCGGGAATGCGCCAATGCCAGGGGTGCTCTTGGTTGCAGCTGCGGACGGGAGCTTTAAACGGCTCATTACCTCATCTCACAGCCCCCTGGATCCGGACTTTTGGCTCGCTGTGAGGTATGACAACTTTTTCGCTGGCCATTAACCACCTGCTTTACATCGCATTAAGACTTCAAGATTGCGGCCGTCTGTGGATCCTGTCCTTCAGGCATCGATCGCGCCGCCTCGACGGCATCTCCGTCCCCAGATATGGCTGTTGCGCTGCACAGATGGCGACAGGCGGAAGCCAACAACAGCCCCTATTCTCCGAGGGAATGAAGGGGCAATTGTACAGGACACAACGTGGTCAGGACACCGAAAAGACGAGACAGTCGGCGGAGACGGAAGACGGAGAAACGGACAGATCTGGTATGATGTGACAGCCCTCGCGCTCACTCGCAACACATCCAGCGCAACATCTTTTGTTTCCCTGCGGCTTGCTGCACGTTCAGACCCTTCCACAGCTACTGGAAGCCCGGTTCGAACATATCTCGCCTTCTTCTGAAGGCTGTCTCGGCTCAACTCGCTGCGATTGCTTCTGTAACCCCGGCAGGAAGCTGGTGACTGGTCGTTGGTCTGACGGAAAGGAGTCACGCTACTGCACGGTGTTCTGCAATGCACGGGCGAAGGAGACGTCTAGCACACCATTGCCAGCCTCCGGATGGGTTGAGAGCCAACCAACCGACCTTGCTCGAAGTTTCCTATGGGCCGATTGTGCGAACTGGCCGTTGCCGCAACGCTCCGGCACAAGCCTTATCTCGAAATCGTACCGAAAAACGTGCATGCTCTTTGACCACCTGACTTCTTGTTGAGCAGAGTTAGCTGGGACGAGACGACGGGTTATTGCGCAGAAGATATGGCAAACTTTGCCGATCTCGATGCCACGCCCCTCGTCATTCACCCAGCGAGCGTGCAAGAATTACAAGACCAATCGTCATCCAACTCTTCCCACATGGTGTTGATTCATCCTCTTTGATGATAAATTCGAACGTACAAGAGCCAACCCCATGCCAGCTACCATCTGTCAACGGGCCCGGAGCCGAAGCGTCGGAAACTTTCAGATCTCGTACTTTTCGGCGGCGTTGCCCTCTTCTGTGTTGCAAGCGGTAATGATTTCCCCGCTGTAGGTGTCCATGAATTTTCACAATTGGCGGAATAAACTCAAAGGGCTGCGATGGCGTGTGAGCTTCGCAGTTCGGGCCTGCAGATCGGACAGGCACGGAGGTCACATTGACATCGTGGAGCTCTCTGCACCGCGATATGTGTTTTTTCTACAACCCCAAGAGCACCACCACTCCGCCCGCCGTATGTCAGCAGTGAGGTGCGACTGGCGGAAAGTCGGTCAGCCTGCACCAGCCTGCTCTCACCGTCACTTGGCACTGCGACGAGCAGAAATATGTGATCAACGTATCACAACGACAACAATGGACAGCCGTTTGCGGTGTTCAAGCCACCGGGATCTGACCCGGACCCATTGAAGTTCAAGCTTCAAGCCACAGAGGGGCGACGACGAGGGAACTCTCAATATCGATCTCGCCGTTGGCTGCCTTCAACAAGGCATGACCAACACCAGGTGCCACTTGCCTGCTTAGACTCCACCATCGGAGCAAACCAAGTTGCAGACAGTAAGGTACTTTGGTTGTTTAGTTGCCGCTCAAACGACTGCGAGGAAAATAATTCAGCAGATACTGTGCATCTCGGCGGCAGTCGACTGCGGGCAACTTGAGAACATTCCTCTCAGGCGCCTGAAGGCTGTACCTGCGAACGGTCTGAGTGGGATTTCGACAGGGCAAAGCACCTCACCGGTGACGTCCAGGCCGAAAACGGTTTAGTCCAGGAACACGACCGACAACTCTGAAACTCGGTAGTGTTTCCTCGACAAATAATGGCCAAGCCTGGGGGTGGTGGATAAGGTGTGCTGGATCACGCTCACGGGCAGTCTGTCATCCACATACTGAAAAGTATGGCGGGAGCAGACGGGAAAGACCCAGAAAAAATTGGTACGCGCACATGGCATCGTGGCTGCTCCGTCATTCTGCTGGGCCGTATGCCGCCGTCAACCATGGATATGGCCTGTGCTGGCTGTGGACATGAAGGGAATTGCTTCTCTCTTTAAAGTCTAATGCTCTGTAAATGCGCAGGCCCGAGAAGCTTCCAAGACCGAGGCCAGTATCGTCCACGCCATCTCAAAAAGGAGTGCCCGATATGTCATAGTTCGCACCCGAGCATGAGGTCAATCTTCAGGATGAAGCCTGTAGCGGGCTCGACTGTCAGTTGCCGCCTGCCAAATGCCTCTGAATCATGCGCCCCCGCGTAAAGCCCCGATCTTAATGACGGCACTGTGGAAGCCGTTCGGCGCTCTTGCGTAATCCTGATCATCGATATAAGCATGCAAAATAGAGCCATATTCCCTGCCGTCGATCTTCGATATGAATATGCTTTTCCATCATCTTGATGTTGGCAGTTTCCATCTAATGCCGTTCTCGCACGTCGGCAAGCCGCCACCCCAAGGAGAGATCCACCCGGCCGTGGTGCCAGCCGACGATGCAAGAAACAAGGCCGGAGACTCAGGGACCAGCCGGATAAGGGCCTCTACAGCGGTCTGGAAAAGACGGTATCGCAATGCATTATCCAATCCGATACCTTGGTTCGGAGTTTGGCTGAGGTAGATTCGCCCATCCATCATGCGGGCCCCGTTGATTTGGGAATGGCGCGCAACGCAGTTTCCCGTAGTCGCATAGCCAAGCTGCCTGGTCTGATCAATCAGTCACCTGGTGCACAACCGGCCAGCCTCTAGATCGGTTCATTCAACGATTGGTGGCTAGTCGAAGTCCGAGCGAGCGATAATCGTGACCAATGGTCTTGGAGGCGAGAAGTGTCACCCAAGCTTCCAGAGTCAGTCAGCAACATCGGCTTGACACGTCCGGCAAGACAAGCGGATAGCTCACCAGCGAGTGCCGTGGTTATTTTTGAGAACACGCGAGGCCTCAGTCAGCATACATCGGGCCGGAGTGACCCTTCCAGCAGAAACAGCAACTTGCGCCTCGCCAGACGACACAATATGATTTGATGAAAGACGATTGCTCGCTTCTCGGAGAATTTCAGAGGTTGTATCCCATCACAGCACCCGGAAAGCGTGGGTCCAGCGCCGTCTTGGTCGGTTCATCAGTGTTCCTTCCTGACGGGGATGCAACATCCTGGCTCGTCAGACGGCGGAACCTGCCGTCCAGGGACCCAACCAAACTGCCTTACCTAAGCGACACAACTTCATCTCTTTCCTTCTACCTTGCGTGGAGCATCGTCAAATTTTATTTACACTCAAGCCCCAACGAAACCCTCGATCATCTGTCCGTCCCAGAACCTCAAAAATCTGACTCACCACCAGACAGTACGAGGATTTACCATGGCGGCCCAGTTCGAGAATCTTCCAGACGAGCTCAAGCTGGCCACAGCGGCTCACGTGAAGTACATACAGAGCTTGGATACTCGCAAAGACGAGTACGACTACTGGCTGACGGAGCACCTGCGCCTTAACGGTCTCTACTGGGGCCTCACTGCGCTGCACCTTCTGGGCCACCCTGACGCGCTTCCCCGCGCCGAAACCATAGACTTCGTTCTCTCGTGCCAGCACGAGAGCGGAGGCTTCGGGGCCGCGCCGGGCCACGATGCTCACATGCTCTATACAGTTAGTGCTGTACAGATCCTCGTCATGATTGACGCCTTGGATGAGCTGGAGGTGCGCGGCAAGGGGAAGGCTCAAGTGGGCAAGTGTGAGTGCTTGCCGCTTCTCGCTGTTGATTGCGCATGAGATGCTGACATTGAGGGACAGTCATTGCAGATCTTCAGAACCGTGAAAGCGGAACTTTCGCAGGTGACGAATGGGGCGAGGAGGACACCCGCTTCCTCTACGGCGCGCTGAATGCTCTCTCGCTACTCGGTCTGCTTGATCTGGTGGAAGTCGACAAGGCTGTCAACCACATCGCCGCGTGTACCAATTTTGACGGCGGCTATGGTGTGAGTCCCGGCGCGGAGTCCCACTCGGGTCAGATCTTCACCTGTCTCGCGGCGCTCTCCATCGCAGGGCGTCTGGATCTTGTGGAGAAGGACAAGCTGGGTCGGTGGTTGAGTGAGAGGCAAGTTGCGGCTGGCGGCCTCAATGGTAGGCCCGAGAAGGATGAGGACGTGTGCTACAGTTGGTGGGTGCTGAGCAGCTTGAGCATCATTGATCGGACGCACTGGATCGACCGGCAGAAGCTCATCACCTTCATCCTCAGGTGCCAGGATACGGAGCTCGGCGGCATCTCAGATCGGCCAGGGAACATGGTGGACGTGTGGCATACCTTGTTCGGCCTTACGGGTCTCAGCTTGCTGGGGTATCCGGGCATGGTGGAGGTCGACCCTGTGTATTGCATGCCGAGAGCGGTGACCGAGAAGGCATTGGGAAAGAAGACACAGTGATGCTGGAAATGCGACGGGAGCAGTTGCTCAGGAGCGAAACTTGCTCGCAATACTTACCTCTTGCCGTCTAATAACCTGCTAATTCCAATTGCGATGGTAGCAAGGATACATGGCGAGAGAAGAGCAAAAGTGTTGGCTTTTTAGGGGCTTTCGTTTTGCTACATGCGATCTGCCCTGTGCTAGCCTTCAAACATTTTATCAAACAGGCCTCGACGGAGCCTGGATTAGGGTCGATCCCGATACGCAATACAATAACATATCTTAATACCACTTATCGTTGACCGAGACTTTCAAGGACGGTATTTGTAAGTGGGGAAAATCCACGCGTGAGTGCCGTCCTCTCAGTATACCCACTTGGTCGCAACAGCTGGCTGCCTCTGTCTAGAACGTATCTCCCTACGTACTACCAATTCGCTGTTTGTTGTCTGAGTGGTCAGGAGATGGTTAGTCGAGTCTGCTTACACTCTCAGAAGACTGTCACATCAGAGGAGCTGGGGTGGTAACCGAGGTAGGTAGTGGTGGTGGTAGTGGTGGTGGTAGTGGCCAAGGTTGTAAACACCAAAGTCCCTCCGGTTACTTCTTTGTTTTTTTCTTAGCAGCTGGGAGTTCTGTCCGCTGACTCTCCTTCCATTTCCAAAGGAAGTGGAGTAGTGGTGGTGGTTGAGGTTGAAAACACCAAAGGCACCTCCATTGCCTTAGGCGGCTCCCCGCCAAGTGCCCTCCCTACACCCCTTTGTGAGAACCTTCAGGACACCGCATGTGAATACTCAGGAACCAGGTGCATCAATACACAAGCTCGTTGACAGTCACGTGCCTGGGGCTCAGGTGAGCTGCTTGAGGTCGGCCTTCGCACCCAACTAGCGCGTCGCGCTCTTTTTTTCCTGTCAACACCACCGAGAGAAAAAAACAACCCCTCCTCCGACCTCACCACTTCACAACCTCACCACCACCAACCCTTCGTCACTCCTTTCTCCCCTCTTCTCCCCATCTGGAGAAGTCGTCAGCAAGACGATTTCTATCCAGTTTTCTCTCCTTCAAATTCTCTTCCTCCTTTCTACCACTGTCACGTACCCTGATTTCTACGACTTGTTTCGATACCGTATCGAACTCCCGCTACCCCGACCAAAAGTCCTGTTACAACACCTGTCCTGTCGATATTTTATCACCAACACCAATCCGAGAAAAACGACTCTCCCAGGCCTTTCAGGTCGTCCAAGAAGCCTCTGTGTTGTTCACAGAACTAACCGAAAACCACTACTGTCGAAATTCTCACGAGAAGCGGAATCACATCCATCCCCATAGCACCAAAGGACCGGGAGATCAAGCCTGCTGGGTACTAGAGGTACGTGAAGACAGGCTTTGAAGTTTGTTTTTCTTTTCACTTTGTCTGCGTTCTCTGTGCGCTTTCTGTGGCCTTTCCTTTTTAGCTGGCTGTTTGTATTTTGGGGGATTGATGTTGGTCTTTTCCTTGTGTTCTTTTTCGTCTGGACCTGGGCCTTGGTTGGGGCATCACTGTTCATCTCATTGCCTTGGCGATGGGACGACCTGAGTCAAGCATCTCGCTTGGGAGGGTTTTCCAGATTGCATCTGCTGCCATTAAGGGCCATCTGATCTGGTGCTGGCCCTTTTCCATCCGTTCGAGTTCTACCCTGAAGTCCTCAGTGCTGGTTGCCCGAGAACCGTCTGTTCTTGGTATGCAGTCCAACTCGTCAGGATCAAGAGGGAATTGGCACAATGGAGTTCAAGATTTGAAGACTTATGCACTTGGTCTGGGTGGCTCTGTGGTTCCCCAATGCTTTGTATGGACAAAACCCTACCCATGACTTTGAGCATCTGGACTCTTTGAGAATCACATGGGTAGCTGCAGCTTTACTACCTCCTTGCGATTTCATGGGGCATCGTGGGTAGCCAAGGTGTTACTGTGGCGGCTGGGTCTTCTCAATGCCTTCACGCGCTCTCTCGGAACACAAAAGGCAGGAGCCATCAACTCTGCGGCCCTGCTCTCGCCTCTTTTTGATATTCAGAAAAGCGAGAGCTGCCTCAGAAGGTGAATATGGGCGTGAGGGCATCGAGGGCAATTTTTGAAGTTTGCCCATAGATAAAAGGAGGGCCAGGAACCCTGATCTACTCTTCTTTTCTTCTCTCCTCTCTCCACCTGGCTTGGGAATCTTCTTTTCCTTTTCCTTGCCACTATCACCACAATCGTTTTGATCACCAGAGAAAACAGCATCACAATCTTCGCATATACTTACTAACCCTTGCAGGGTTCATTTGATACCTTCGACATATATCAGCGGCGCAATACCCAGAGCAGCAAGGTGCTCAACCGGAGTTTTTGATCAGATCCTGCCTACCGAGACGGCACGGCCTTGACACGATATCAAGCTTTCCGCGAAGCAAACCACCGAGAAAATTGATTCGGCAAGAGATCCAACGACTCGACACAGACAATTCTAGCACGGCATCGGAGAACGTTGCTTGCTACCTGCCTTTTGGCTTCCAGCTCTTGGTAAGTGCAGATCACCCCAGGAAGGGACGAAAATGAGGCGTACCTGAGCTCTCAGAGCCAGGGACCAACGGTGGAGGCAGTCACGACACTGGAATTTCATTGCCAGCAATGGCAGATGGAATGCACAGTGCTGGGAGCACAAGACCAGAAATTTCGAGGTGTGAGGACCTTATCTTTCTCGACGGCCATGGTCCAGTGGTGATCCGGTATCTGGTCCTGTCCTATGAGATAGCGGATGGTCCCACTCCTGTCATGTGATGACTGGACAGCCGCCTGCCATTTCATCCAGGGCATCTGCCTCTCCTGCTTTTCCAATTCAGGAGCCTTCGTCCCTTCCTTCGTCCTTGCTCTGGCCCGTATGCTTACTGACGGAAGCTTCATACACAGGCAAGAACCACCTCGGGCACACGACCGACCACACTCCCTCCTTCCTTTCCTTCCTCGACCTCAAGCAACGTCCCTTTCGGGAAATTGGAACGCACGCAGCTACTATGGACAGCTCGCTGCTTCTATCTTTCCTGCAAAAATGGCGCCCAGACGTCAAGCAGCTGTTGCTGCCCAGGCCGTGAGTACTACTTTCCCCTGAACTACACATCATCCGGAACTTCATCCCAAGATACCGTTCGTTCTGTCTGCCAAATTTCAATCTCCCACCATCTCGCGACAGCAATTGTCTATCTCGTACCCTCCTCCCACATGTCCTGAGCTACTCAGTGTCATCGCTTTGCTTTCTTTGCTCGGCTCTGCCTTTCCCGTGTCTTCGACATCTCGAAACACCAGTCGTTCTTTGCCCACTTTGATGTCCACGACATCACAGGGAGGATTTCCTGCCTCTCGTTTTGCGTTTTGGTTACCCCGAGAAACTTATCCAGTTCCCCACCACGCTCGCTTCATCTGAAGCCGTTGCCAGTCAGTCACGACTGACCTCGGGAACCGCCTGAAATGCTTGCAGTTACTGACTATTGGCAGAGTATGGCCGACATCGCAGCCCGTGAGACTGAGGTCGACATCGATACCCCTATCAAGCCTCCCAAGGCGCCCAAGGTGTTGAAGCCTGCAAAGGTTTCCAAGAAGGCCCAGCCGTCGCAAGCCAAGAACGCCGGCAAGGGTTCCAACGCGAAGGCAGCTGTCAAGAAGTCATCCGACGTCAAGTCTTCAGATGGCTCTTCTATCCCTCTGCTCTGCTGCATCTGCTCCAGCCACCCTCGCTTCTCTGACGTTTCTCACTTGTTGACCCACTTGAGCTCCAAGGGCCATCTTCACACCTTGAACACTACGAGACTCGAGTCCCACGCAGACCTCTCCGCCGCTGCGACCATTGCCACCTATGACACTTGGTACGCCAAGCACAATCTCGAGCGTTTGCTCGCAGAGCGTCTCATGGCAGCCAGAGGAATGACCAATGGCAAGCGACCTGGCCAGCACCTCGCCCAGGTAGGCTGTTTCCGTAACCTCCGTTCTTGGTTAGCCGAACTGACCTCTTGCAGACTGTGAAGAAGAAGAAGTCCCTTGCTGTAACTGTCAAGACTGAGCACGACGCCGACGCTCCTTCGACTCCGTCTGCCAAGAAGACGGGAAGTTTCGAGCATCAGGAAGCAATCACATTCTTTGGAGAAGAGGGCGAGCCAGCTGATCCTGGTCCCGACTATGTCGAGGAGGACTACGACACTGTCAGACTCAAGGGTATTATCTGGCCCGGCATGAGTCTCTTCGACGCCGCTACCCCGGATCAGAGGAAGAAGCGGAACCAGCGCAAGGACGCCTCGGTCCTCCTTCAGATGGAGCTTGACTCGCAGGCTGTCACTACCCTCGAGATGGTGGCTAACCTCAACTTGGAGGTTGAGAAGACTCGCAGTGTCTACGATGCCCCTTCCATTGAGGGTACTCCGGTATGGTGCCTTCCAACTTGCTAAGCCCGGAACCAAACTGACAACATCCAGCCTGCCAAGAAGCCTAGAGGTCGTCAGAGACGCGCTGTCACCGATGGCTTCGAGTCGCCTTCTGTTAGGGTCAAGGAAGAGCTAGACACGGACGACGAGGCCCTCATGCGGCCCACTCGTGCCAGACAACTCCGAACTAAAAAGGGTCCGAAGGTCATGGCCAGCCCCTCCCCCGAGGCAGACTTCCAAAACTCCCCAGAAAGATTCGAGATTGCCAGCGACGACGCCGATGTCAGTGACCCCAACCAAGGGTTTGTCCTAGGCACTGACATGCCTCTTGGTATTGCCTACAACGACGATCACCATGGCGACGTCGATGCAGACAACGATCCTGACCCGGACAGTTTGGACACAGACTTCGACGAGTCCCAATTTGCGGATCAGATGGGCACCTTCAAACAAACTTTCACAATCCCTGACAGACCTGATCTAGGAGCCGGCGATGTCTTCAGAGACGGCTCTTCTGACCGTATGTTGCTATCATTGTTTCCATCTTCAGCTGTTGCTAATCTGTTCACAGCCCGCCAACCCCCGACCCAGATCACAGATCAAGCTAGGTCGGCTCTTGGCCACGACCTCAAATCTTCTATTGATACGGTATATTGATGACCCCTCTGTTGCAGATTCAATGTGCGAAGTCGTATCCCCCTCCAACCGATGAACCCGAACTCAAACCTGACGTTGGCGTCTCCTACCCCTGCTGCGAAGCAGCTGTCGCACCGAACCTACAAAGGGAAGGAAAATAACTGTGGCTTGCAGGATCCGGCATTTGGAAATCACAACTTCTTTGGTGGTCACAACGCTCACTTGAACCAGGCCAGAATGTCCAACATGGGGATGCCTCCCCCCTTCCACAACTTCGCGCACGCACAGGCAATCGACTCTGTCTTTCATCCTCACTACCCGCACCATTGGCCACACAATGCGCACCACGGATTCAACCCAATCAATGGCCACCCGGATCAACGGAACCTGTACCACCCTCACATGTTTCCCATCGCCCCCAATGTCTTCGACGAGAACGATCCGGGCCAGGGCTTGGATGGCGGTTTCAACGGAAATTTCTGAGTTGTACGACTCCGAGGTTTCGTAGCTCGTGGGACCATCAAAGAAAGAGGCGACGTTAGGCAATCGACGTGTATCAGAGACTTTCATTTTCGTCTTTCGTTTTCATCTTCGCTTTTCAAGTACGTTCAAGGCGCCGACCTCCATTTTCCTGTGCATTGCTAACTTTCCTAGCTGTTTAAGTAGGCAGGCATGCTGTTGCTTGACCCCGCGCGTTTTCGATTCACGCCTCTGCGATTCAGAGGGTTTCTTCTGCGCTTTCTCGGGGCAATTACGCGGTGCCTCTCGCGAAGGACCACGGATGTGGCTGGCTTGTGCCAGCTTGGCATGTCGAGAACCTTTAGGATGCCGTATATACGGTGGTTCAGAAGAGACGGTTGCCAACTTTGAGACTATAAACTCGAACATTCTTCAGTCGAGTGCGGAGGAAACTATAGTCCTGGTAGCCGAGATCTCGGTTGGTCACGAAAATTCATTCTTCTTGGCCAGCTAGTAATGCCACAGCATGGTATTTAGCAATAAAAGCAATTCATTATCATATCGTTGTGTGATTTGTACACATGGTGGTGTTACAACTGCTCTATGTTTGACATCAAGTGTTCCAACTGATCTGTCTTGCTTTGCAGCACATCGGACAAGAGACGTGCCGTGCCCTGTAACCTCCTTGCTCTTACATCCTGCTCCATCTCTCTTGACTTCTGCGCAGCCACCTCGATGACCTTGCGGGGAATCCGAGCCAGCCGCGCGACGTTGAGGCCGTACGAGCGATGGGCGACGCCCTCGCCGACTTCGTACAAGAACGTAATCTCTTCGTCGGCACCGGCATCGTCATCCTCCCTTCCGTCCTCGCCCTCCTTGCGCGTAGCAGTGAAGCGCATGTGGACATTCTTGACGAGCCCCTGGCCGATACCGTCTGCGAGACGCGCGAGGTTCTGGTAGTGCGTGATGAAGAGGGTCAGGCACTTGTTCTCGCGGACGACGTGGTCGAGCACGGCGTGAGCGATGGCGGCGCCGTCGTGCGTCGAGGTGCCGCGGCCGAGCTCGTCGAGGATGACGAGCGAGCGCGGCGTAGCGGCGCGGAGGATGCGTGCCGTCTCGGAGACCTCGACCATGAATGTGGATTCGCCTGCGGCGAGGTTGTCGCGGGCGCCCATGCGGACGTGGATTGCGTCGGCGAGGGTCAGGGAGAACGCGTCGGCTGGGACGAAGGAACCTATCTGGGCGAGGAGGACGAGGAGGGCCACGGCGCGGACGAAGGAGGATTTGCCGCCCATGTTGGGGCCCGTGATCAGGTGGGCTAGCGGAGATGGGGAAGAGAGCGTTGTTGTGAAGGGGATGTAGGGGTCTGAGAGGGTGTGTTCGGCAATGGGGTGACGGCCCTGCGTTATGGAGATTGTGGGCTGGGTCGGGCTTGAGAGGAAGCTTGGTTTGGTGTAGCCTGGGAGGGCGGCGACACGGGAGAGGGAGAGGAGGCAGTCGAGGGTTGCGAGGGAGGAGACGGCGTCGCGGAGGGGCTGGTACGCGTCTGCAATCTCGCGGAGGAGGGAGGTGAAGGCTGCGTCGCAGGCCGCGGCGAGCGCCTCGCGGTGTTGGTCGCGTTCTTGGATCAGGCGGACGACGGTGGGGGTGTGGAAGCGAGAGAGCTTCTTTGTGCCGGAGATCTTGATCCAGGAGGCCGGGACGGACTTGAGGTCTGTGTTGAGGACTTCGATGAGGAACTCGATGCCGGAGACGGTGACGTATTCGACAGGCTTCTTGCGCTTGATGGAGGAGGCGGCCTCGGCGCGGTGTTCGTCGAGGGATTGCTCGACGGAGACGATGCCCATCTTGTGGTCCTCGATATCTTCGGTCTGTTCCGACTCGCGGAAGAAGTTGTACTTGTCATCCTTTCGGGCGGCTTCCGGATTGATCTTTTCAAGGTGCGAGACAACGAGGTCGAGGATTTGAGGGAGGGAAAAGATTGCGGAGGATATCAGGGGTGAGGTGAAGCCTGTTTCCTCGGCTGATTTGACGGTTGAGTATTGCATAGCGATGCGTTGAAGGGTCTGGAGGACGGAAAGGAGTTCCGGGCGGGTGCATTTCCCGTAGTAGATGCGGATGAGACTGCGTTCAAGGTCGGTCTTGATGCTGTACAGGAGACTCTCGAGGCGGTCTACCTTTGTAGAAGATTGCTCGTCCAGAAGTTCCTGCACGGCGGCAACACGAGCTTCGAGACGGGAGACGTCAAGCAAGGGGCGGCCGACCCATTTGCGGAGGAGGCGCTGGCCGAAGCGGGTGGTAGTCTTGTCCAGTGCCCAGAAGAGAGAACCGCGCTCAGAGTGATCTGTGGCATTGCGATAAACCTCGAGGGACTCAAGGGTTGTTCCGTTCAGGAGCATGTGCTGGCGCGCAGAGAAGCTGGCAAAGTTCTTGGTCAGATCGAAAACGTGTTCGAGTCCGTACTCCCTGAGGTGTGAGATCATCGCACTAAGACATATCGTGACAGGCTCAGGGAGATGAAGGATGCGGTCCAGGAGAGCGGAGGCGGCGGCGTCTGGGGTCTGCTGCAGCTTCTCGGCGTAGAACTGCGTGACGTGGGAGTAGGCCTCGGCGGCCATGGTCTTAGATCGAGGGACGCGCTCGACGCGGCTGCGGTCGCCAAAAACGTTTGTGCTGCTTCCTGACAGATGACGAATGAGCTTGTCGGAGCCCTTGGTGAGATCGCCCACAATGACGAACTCGCATGGTGAGATGTGCAACAGGCGCGTCTCAATCTCGCTCCTCATGAAGCCGTCCTCGAAGGTATCGTAGATGATATCTCCCGTTGTCGGTTGCACGGCCACTATGCCGACATCGACCTTCTCATCAGTGCCCTGGCCCTTTGACGGGGTTTCGGTGATGCACAGCAGGTACCCTCCCGAGGGAGCACCGCCGTCGCCAGTCTCCAGCTCGCCGTTCTCGTCGATGTAAGTGCCCTTGGTGTAGACGTTGGTCAACTTTCGTACGAATGGTGCGTTGCGGTTGTCGCCGGCCTTCTTCAAGGCAGCCGTTTCAATCTGTCGAACGACTCCGACCTTGTGTCCAGCGGCAACTAGACGCTTCGCGTGGACGTGTAGCCGGTGGACTGGGATACTCGCTGACGCAAAGCGGTCCCAGTGTGCTTCCGAGGGGTGCTCATCGTAGCGGTACTTTCCCGGGATACAGACGATGCTGAGCTCCTTGGCGGCAATGCGGGCGTCCTCGCCGAAGAATCGGAACTTGTAGCCAACCTCGACGATGAGGACGGTGTCGAGGTGCTTGCGCTTGATTTCGAGGAACTGAATCTCCATTGGCGTGAGCTTCTTGTTCGCTCGAGCGCCGCCCTTCTTCGCCTTGGGTGGCGGCGGTGCCTCGTCTTCTTCGTCTTCATCGCCCTCCTCTCCCTCGGCAGCTTCGTTGTCGTCTTCTCGGTAGCGGCGGCGCAGCATGCTGTCTGGATGGCCCAACTTCTTCACAAACTTCTTGTGGAGCTCCTCCCTGTGCTTCTTCGTCGACGGGTCGTCATCCTCCTCCTCTTCGTTCTCGTTTGACTCTTGGCTGTAGACAAAGCGTCCTGTCCTACTTCCGGATGCTGATGCCTTCGCCTTGGGCTCCTGGTCAGGTTTCTTCTTTCCGCCAGGGAAGAACGAGCTTTTCCCTTGGTCGACGACTTCGGTATTGTCGGCCTTTGCTCTCTTTGACGCCTTCTCCAGCCCATTGTTCCCCTTATCGGCGTCCTCTTCCAATGGTCTCTTGCGCGAGCTCTCTGGCGACTCGGGCGGGCTGGTCCTGGACTCGGATTGGGACTTGTGGAAAGCCTCGGCGAGGCCATTGACGGTTTTGGGTTTGAAGAAGCTCGTCAGCGAACGCTGCTGCTTCTCGGAGGGCTTCGATTTGGGCGCCATTGTGTACGATAAGCAGATTGGCGGCGCGGTTGTTGCGTGGTGATTGTGAACCAGCTTAGAAAGATTTGGATGGTGATGTCAATTAGGAGGCCCCGGTCTCGTCCCGTCGCGTCTCCAGGGCGTGAGCGCGTTGAGAGGTTGCAGGGGGCCCCCACTGGAGCTCGATGATTTACAGGGGTCCGCGCCAGTACTCCGCAGCAGGCCGTCAGGGATTGGGTCCCTCATATTAAACTTTCTTTTTACAGCTTCATGGCGTGAAACCGGCTGCATGTAAGTCGCGCGGGAAAAAATCACTCAGATTGCTGCCAGGTCCTTTTTCCATGTCTTAACTTTAGGTTCATTGATCGAATTAAAAGAAATGCAACTCTAGGGGTATGTTGAAAGAAACGAAACGTCTGCTCAAAGCAGTTGAAGACCTCCCTGCCAGCTCTAGTACCGAAACGCCCACCACTCAACTCAGCAACCAACGGAGACCGATTGCGCCGTCCTCCAGGAACTTCTGGCTAGCCTTCAAGTGCGGGTAAACTGCCCAGAAGCCGTGAGGCACACCGGGATACAGGTCCAACTTGGTGGGCACCCCCGCGTCCCTCCACACCTGCTCCATGACCAGAGTGCAATCTCTCAGAGGGTCGAGACCGCAGGCCTGGAAGTAGGTCTTGGGCATGATGTTGCCGAGGTCTGGGGACAGGATAGGGTAGGCGACGGGGCTCGTGAAGTCAGGCTTGTAGTTCTCTGGCACCCTTGTCAGTACGGAACTTTTACAAAACTGCGGGGTAGTCTTACTGTGGATGACTTGGACGGACTCCTTCGTGATGACTGGCGCATGCGCGTTTTGCTCCATGCTCAGAAAGCGATCCTTGTACTTCGCGGGGACAGTTTCCTCCGTAGCTGCAACGGCAACTGACGAGTAAATGCCCGTCAGTGGGGGTGATCGCTGCTCCTTTCCCCAAAGATAGGCGACACCAAGAGCCAGATCTGCGCCGGCGCTCTCGCCGCCAACGAGGAAGCCCTTCTCTGGGTTGATTCCCAGGTTCTTGGTGTTCTCGATTGTCTATGGCGGTCAGCTTACTCATCTGACAGCCACTGGGGCTTTGCGCTACTCACCCAGGACACTGCGTCGTAGCAGTCGTTAGCGGGGATGGGGAATGGGTTCTCGGGAGCAAGACGATACTCTACGTTCACCGCAATGCCACCCAGCTGAGTGAAGGCGCGGCAGACGAACGAAATCTCTTCGACGGATCCAATGATGAAGCCACCACCGTGGAAGGCCACGAAAACAGGACAGCCGTCCTCAGGGAGTTGCTTTGGCTTATGGATGCGGGCAATGAGAGACGCGCCGTCTCTTGTGGGAATCTGGATTTCCTCCTCAACCCAGGGTACGGTTGATGGATCTGGGGCTGCTGCACGCTGGGCTGCGCCGGCCTGGGCCATCATGGCTCTCAGTCCGCCAAGGTCAGTGTCCATTGTCCAGCCACTCACACGAGGCGGGCTGGTTTTGAAGGCCTATGAGGTGTAAGTGGTATGACGGCAAAAAATGTGGTGTTGTCATGTATCACCTCGTCCCATTCGGCAGAAGGGGTGCCAAGTGCTAAGGTCTCCTCGACAGACAGCATTTTGTGTGTGAGTAGCATAGTCGTGAAGATGGATGAGGAGTCAAGAGGAAGATGGTTCTGAAGTTCAAACTCATCAGACAAAGCTCGTGGGGGACTCGGCTCATGAATTTATATCCCACCACTACGCGCGGGGTTACCCAGCTGGCAACCACCAACCTCATCAACCAACCAACCAACCGGGCAGGTACGACATGCCCCTTTCTGGCAACGGCGTTCCATGTCCATGGATGCCATGACCCCATCTCCAGGGAAGACAAAGAAAACAGATGCCAGCTCATAACTTTACAAAAAAACCGTGCACCAGCTCTCGCCAAATTTGCCCATCTCAAAGCGTGTAAGCCAGGCTAGGCTAAGTGCATCTTGCGTCTATCCTCGAATCAGGGGTTAATAAGAGTGCCAGGTGGCACACACCGCTCGTCAGCTGCGGCAGAATGCGGGTCTTCCGGACGCGAGGTCCTTCCGTCTTGCGGGGCACGATATCGGGTCCAATCGGGCCCCTGTCCACAGAGTACCGGCTGTTTTCCCCACACACACCGGACGTCGCATCGCGGCTTATTCTCTCAAGGTCCGATTCATGATGCCATGCAGCCTGCGTAAGACGGGAGTCGTTCTGGAGCCTCCAAAAGACCCCTCATAGGCGAAACATGAGACATTTTTCTGACAATGGATGCGAACCATGGCTTTGGCACGAACCTGTCCAACTGCTACCTCAGATTCCCTATTTTACCGGATTATTAGATGACTTGCTCCAAGAAAATATCCGCCCTGCAGAAGCTTGGGCGTGTTGGTTGCAGCACGTGACGTACCAAAGGCGTGATTGGCTGAGGGCCCAGGATCCCCGAACGGTTGGGTGAATTACAAAGCGACACTACCAGCTTTGGTGATGTAAGGTGCGAAAGAAAAAAAAGTGGACTGACCGAGGTCGCCGATTATATTCAATCATCTGTTCGCCGCAACCCGGATCGCAAATCGTTTCCTGAGCCACCCAACACTCGCTAGACACGCACAATGGCCTCCCAAGCTTGCGAACTGCGTAAGGAATCCTTCGCGACACAAACCTCCCCCTCCCAATGGCTAACAAAAGGACTCCGCAGCCTCCATTTCCACCCCGGCCGCCGCGCCGGCTGCCGCAAACGAGCAAGCCTCCAAGCCCAAGGTACGCACGACTGAACGACGAGCCTCGCCTCTCCATTCCCTTATCTCACACGACCCCGTGCGTACGAGCACCTGCTGACGCTTTCTTTTCAATAGCCCTGCTGCGTATGCAAGGAGGAGAAGGCGAAACGGGACGAGTGCATGCTCTTCTCCAACGCCGCCGACCCAGCCAAGGACTGCCTTTCCACGATCGACCAATACCGAAACTGCATGAAGGGCTTTGGCTTCACGGTGTAAGGGGATAGTCGAGCCGATGATGAAAACGGATAAATCGATGCGACGATAGATGTACAGTACGACCGAAGCATACACGGCGTTGGGGAAATAAAGAACCATCACGACTCTGGTTTGAAAACTGCCATTTGTGTGCTGCAGTGAGTGTTGTTGGGGCAATTTACAATCTGGTCATCACTTTAAGTGGTTCTCTCCCTGGAGGATCGTGTGTGGCCGCGAGGAATGATCGCCATGTAGTTGCGACCGATCTTTCGTCCCTTTGATTTCCATCCGCATGACCTCTGAATTATTGTACATTGACCCAAAATCAGTAGTCGAACCGATGGACATCATTCGTAGCTCCAGAGCCGAGCGTCCTCGTGTCCCGTGGCTTTGTCCACGTCTTCCTTACTCTGTCGGGATCGTCGGCAAACCCTCCATGGCCTACGTTGATCGGCAAAATGTGGGAATCCGAGGTACGAGGCCGGGGCGTCTTGTTTGGAATTAAGGCAGAGGACGACGGCAAGGTGCGCACGCAGGATGCAGGGCACAGGATGCTGCAAGCCTGCGAGAGGAGATGAGCAACTTGTTATCGCTGGGGGCTTCTCTTCTGGGCTACTTGTGCAATATCACGAATGGTGGGTTAGAAGTTGAGAATGGGGGAGGCGAGACATTCTATGGCCGAAAGCCGCGAAGGGATGCAAAAGGTGCAAGAACGGGCTGCGTTGTTTGAACGGAAGCGCAGACTGGCATTGGCAGCGGTGAGGACGAATGCTGTCACCGGAGGCGGAAGGGACAACAACAATCTCTCAAGGGACCGAAGGCTTTGCGACTGGTCTATGAGTTACTCAATACCCCAATTCCATACTGGAAGCGAAGGACGGCCGACGGGTCCCTTATAGTCTGGTCCAATTCCAACTCTCCCGGCCCAGAAGGCGGCTCCCAGGTGGGAGTTCAGGTCAAACTGGGTCAGTTAGTGTGGTCGGTTAGAGTGAAGTGGTTTGGCTCGGACTTGGGCTCGGCGAGGTCCAGGTTCGAGTCGTCGACAAGAGATTACCTGTCAGTATCCTAGACGTGGGATCATGGGGACTCTTTTATCATTTTAGTTCTCTTTTTTGATTCTATCTGTAAAGAAAGAAATAATCCTGCGCTTTTGTTTCTAGCAGATCTGCGAAATAGCAAGCGATGCTTGCTCCTTCCGTGTGTCGGGGGATTTCGTGATATAAGAGCACTGCCTGAATGCAGCGCCGGTGAGTTCGGTGAGGATGGGGCGGGGTTACTTCGGGTGCAGGGATGGCTGGATTCCAGACAATCAGACCCCACTAAAATTTTCTTCGATAATGGAATCTGCACTGGCACCTTATCGCATCTCGAAAACTCCCTTCTCCATTCAACGGGTTGGTCTCTCGTCAAACCGCAAAGATGGGTCTGGCGCAGCAGAAATCGTAAGAGACATACCATGGGATTCTACAGTGACATGCGACTTTATTTACTGACATCCTACCAAATAGCCGCCGCAAGATCGGCAAGGATCCCAACAACACGAAATGGACCAAGGACACCGAATCCTTCGGCCAGCGGATGCTGCGATCGCAAGGTTGGGAGCCCGGACAATATCTCGGCGCCAAAGACGCAGCACACGCCGTGCACCACACCGCCGCCAATGCCTCCTTCATCCGCGTCGCCCTCAAGGACGACATGCTCGGCCTCGGCTTCAAGCAAGCCAGGGATGACAGAGTGACGGGAATGGACGTCTTCTCCGACCTGCTGGGACGTCTGAACGGCAAATCGACCGAGGCGATCGACAAGGATCGTCAGGCCCGCGAGGCGCTGAAGAGCACGTTGTACTGCGATACCAAGTTCGGCCCCATGCGTTTCGTCAGCGGTGGCTTCCTCGTGGGCGACCAGGTCAAGGAGTCTGTCGACGGCGAGCCCAAGGAGGAGAGCAAGGATGATATCAAGATGGAAGACATCCCCGCCGCGGAGTCGTCGAGCAAGCAGTCGAAGAAGCGCAAGGCCGAGGAGTCGAGCGACGAGTCAGAATCCTCCGAGGACGAGAAGACACGGAAGAAGCGCAGGAAAGCGGAGAAGAAGGAGAAGAAGCGCAAGTCAAAGGCTGCGAAGGAGGATGTTTCCGAAGATACCCAGGATGACGTGGATAAGAAGGACAAGAAGGAGAAGAAGAAGGAGAAGAAGGAAAAGAAGAAGGCCGAGAAGGACAGCTCCGACGCCGAGAGCTCCGACGAGAAGGCGTCCAAGAAGAAGAACAAGAAGGACAAGGCCGAGTCAAAGGAGGCCGACGCCGAGAAGGCCGCGAGGAAGGAAGAGAAGAGGAAGCGCAAGGAGGAAAAGCGCGCCAAAAAGGAGGCGTCGCGGGAGTCTTCGTCCACGCCGGCTACGTCAACACCAGCGAGCGGTACTTCAACACCAGTTCTCAGAGGTCACCACGCTGTAAGATCACGATGGATTGCGCAGAAGAGGATGGCTACAATGGACGACAAGGCTTTGAACCAGGTATGTTGCATCGGAACATCCCACGATGCGTACGCATTTACTAACTCGAGGCAGATTTTCATGATCAAGTCGCAGTCGTGATTAGATATAGAAAATAGATATATTAATGACATGGTGTTTTGAGGCGTTCAACATCTGCGTAAAGTACCTACTTAGAGGCCCTGTAAGCCGCGGCTCAAACTGTGCTGCGCCGCGACTTTGTACCCATGGACCATCGATATGGGGCTCGGTGGGATTCAGTTGGGACTTTAGTTATACTTTACCTAGACAGGGCCTACTATTGCGAATTTCGGACGGAGGGGCGAGTGTGAAAACAAAGTTCTGATCCTGTAGACTTATGGCTGATGTTGCCTAGTAGTCAGCCTCAAAGGACATCCGCGTGGGTCCTGAGTGCGCGCCCGCCCGCCCGACTTGTTCGTATTGGAGGCAGCCGAGCCACTTTGGCCGGGTGTACGTGCCGAAGTATGCCACCACGACCTTGAGCGATGAGAAAGTTATGCATATATATCCTCCGTTAGAACCCACCCTACGCATGACGTGGGAACCAACCTTGTCCGCCAAGCTTCTCTTTTCTCTTCAAACACGTCTTTGAGAAATATCACAAATGAAAGTGCAACCTCGAAAAGACACGACCATCTCGCAGGAGCACAATATGGTGGCTTCATCTTCATCTACTGCACCAGGGTCCATGAGCAAGACTGCCACCAACGACGATAATATGAGAATCAACGACCCCGCTGGACCCAAGCCTATCGCATGGCAACACAACTACTTCGCCACCTGGCTTTCGATTAATCTCGTGTGCTGGTTCATCATATCCGGGCTCGGCTCCGGCAGCGTCACCATCCCGTCGGAAGGCCAAGCTATCATCGGCGGCTTCGCATCCTTTATCTTCGCCGGCTCGTTCCTTGGCACCCTCATCATGGTCGAAGAAGTGTGGTCGCAGACGTCCCACACTCGAATGCTTGCCGGTACTATGGGACTCGGGTTGACGGCGACGTACGCTCTCATGGGTGAAGGCTGGAATAACGGCTGGCATCGGACTGCAGTTGCGCTGAGCGGAGGGTACGTCGGGTTCGTGCTGGAGTCTGCGACGGGGGTGTTTGGCTTGTTGCTTCAGGGTCTTGCCAATACTGGCGAGCCCCAGGATCCTGCGGTAGTTGCGGATAAGAAGGGCTAGAAGAAGGCGGAGGGAGAGAAACCAGAGGGGTACCTAGTCTCTTTTCAAAAAGATTCTGCGTTCATACTTCTATCTATTCGACGATGTGGAAGCGTGATGTCAATTCAGCTCCTGATTATCTTCACAAGAAAAGCATCATAACACCTTTTGCCCCCACTTTATCATGAATGGAACAAAAGACTTTGAAGACTTGAGGTACTTCTTCCAGGTAAGACACTATTGAACAGGCAAAAGCGTATGGCATCCAGCAAAAGGATAGAACCCTCGGCCGGGTTTGAACCAGCGACCTTCAGCTAGCTTTCCCTTGACGGGCTGCAGGCCGACGCTCTACCAATTGAGCTACAAGGGCTTTTCTGATGACTTGTTGGTTATCAGATGCATCCAAGACCATTATGACTTTTTCGTTGGCGACCTGGCTGTTCAGTCATCGCCGCTTGGATGTTGGTTGGTGAGTCACTTGGATATGTAGGTACTCAAAGTTGGCCGCCAAGGTTCGGTCTGATCACGGGGCTGCGGTGCGTCTCCCAACTGCACGCAAAAACCAAGATGCCGAAATCTTTCTGGCTACCTTTTTGAAAGACTTCGGTATGTCGCCCGCCAATTCTTACTCCGACATGGGCCTTTGGTGCAGGTATCACATCGACAGCTACACAAGCCCTCCACAACGATGTTGTTGACGACCATACTATGCGCCATTGGGCGCTTCTTCTTACGTCTGGATGCCGTTCTGGCAGTTCTAAGGGTTCTCGGAGCCTTTGGCATGATATCCTGCCTCCTCATCTTGGCAGTCTGTCATCGGGCCTTTGGCAAATACGTCCTTGCGCTCGTTGCATTGAGCCCCCTGGCCCGCCTCATCCAAACCAGCTGGGAGTTCATGACTGGAGACTTTCCTTGGGACAGCAAGGGTTATTTCGTGAGAAGTAGAGAAGGAGAGTTTCTACCCTGGGTGGTCTTCTTCCAGCTACTTGCCCTCGGGGTACTCGCCGTCTCTGGACGTGACTACGTACAGAGCCTTCTCCGTAAGCGACAGGAAGGTCAGATCGATGATTTGGTGGAGATCACAATGGCGGACGCTCTGGAAGCTTCTGAAGAAACCTGGGAGATGGTTGAGTATACCGAAGGCTCTATCGAAAATGGCTGGGCGGGCAAGCGGCTCGCCCCCCTGGGGAACAGTATTACGACGAGAGCAGAGCTCGAGATTCGTCAATGTTTTCGAGAACAGGAAGAATCTCTCGAGGAGCTCGTTGGGTAATCAGCCAAACCAATAGACATACTTTTTTACGATCGCAAACCAACCAGCCCACAAATTTGTACAAGGTAAGGCTTCTCAAGCTCAACTCCGCCGTAAATCACTATACTTACCTCAATCGCAAAGAGTCATCACCCTTCGGGTGCTGCTCAATGGAGTAAGGGCCTTCAATATGGCAAACTCAAACACTGGGTTTCTGCCCTTATAGGTGCTTTCCTGGCTGGCCTGTCCTCGAAACGAAAAATCTGCACATCGCAGGTATCTCCGTTGATGAAGGCATGCCCATATAAACACAGGATCTTCTCAGGATGGACGATCAGAAACTCGAAACAACCAGACTTCTAGTCAAGCTGAATATCCTTCACTCACATCTCAAAAACATACACATACACCAAACCAACAATCCAAGGAGTTACAGTTACCTATCAACTATCTACAATGGCTGCCTCTACTACTTCCAACCAAACCCGCTTCTGGCGTGACCGCTCCCCTTGTCCGGGACGTCCGTCGTCGCTACTCTCGAGAAGAACTTTCGACAGGCGCATTTCCGTTCTTCAAGACCATGGAGACGTCTGGTGGAAGCACTTCCCTAGCTCCCAAGAGCGCAATCAGCCAACCTTGAGGGCCGAGGAGCCGGTCACGCATAATTCAGGGCGCGACTCGAAGTCGGCCGCTCCCAAATCAACGATGTCCATCCAGAGGACCGACCCCATGAACATCTTCAAGCCGTATCCTATCAGAAACGATCCGACTCCCAGTCTCCAGGAAGAAAATGAAAGCTTCTTCGGCAAGAGTTACAGGGCAAAGCCCAAATATCAGCGGCCGCAGCCTCTGTTCGGATCCTCGAGCGCCATGGTCAACGACAACAAGGACCACAGCACAGCATCCGAGAGCCGACCTGCCACAAAGAAATCCATCTCTTGGGCCCACGGCTGCTCCCCCGCGGATCAGAAAGCCGAAAAGCTTTTGAGAGAGAGGTCGAGCTCCCTGCCGCCCCCTTCTCAGGAGTCCGAAGACGAGGCTGCTACCCCTATGGCAGCCACTCCGGATTCCCAACAAACAAGGTCGACAGATCTTGTCAACCACAAAAGCAAGCTCTCGAGCTCACCGCCAAGAAAATGGCTCCAACTCGACGATATGATTTCGGGACCGCGCCTCGTCCAAGTCAAGCCGGGGCCTGGCTACGACGAGCTTGCCCCGCTCACGTATGTGACGACTGACCCTGGGGTGGTTGACAGCATCCCGCCCCTGGACGCGGCGACTCAAGCTCTGGCGTTGGAAGACTTGAGAGACTACGTCAGCAGCTCCTGTTCCTCGAGCCAGGCTAGCCGGTCGCCGTCTCATGAGCGCGAGGAGACTATTGAGAAGGATAATTGGGAGACCGACGAAGAGGACCAGGTCACCGAGGATGAAGACGACGAGACTGAGAGTGAGCTGGAGTGGGTTCAGCTTGCGGAGACGAGAGAGCCGGAGAGAATGGTGCATCTCCTCAACGGTGAATATATTCCGCTCTCCGAGTGGAAGAAGAAGCATCAGCATGGGAGGAAGTCAAATTGGGGCATGGTGTTGATTGTTTCCATGCTGGTGGTGCTCCTAGCCTTGTTCGTGGCATACATGATGAACCTTGCATGGTGTGAGGGCATAGCCGGAAGAACCTAAGGTCTTGCCGTAGTCATAATGCCCAGGCCCCCATGGCTATCTGTATGTACGTCTTTGTACTATATTTTCTCAGGTATTGAATTGGGGATAATAATGATATGATTGATGTCTATTCATCCTTGTGTTGCGCCATGCTAAACTAGAAATGTTGTTCTTCTAAAGAGGGTATAAGATTCGATCTTCAACCGCCATGCGTGATAAATAATAACGAAAAACCAGATATCAATGACGTCGTGCCTTGGTGTACCTCCAAAGCAAGCTCGCGCCTTCCAACGTGGGCATTATCCTAGGCCGAGGACTTGCAGATGGGCCCTTCTCGACAGCTAGATGCATCGACCTATGAAACCTCCGTCTAAACCGCCGCCAGTCGTCATTCGTCGGCCATGATTCGTAAAGGTCGGCTTCGTCTTCAAGGTCGTCCTTGTCGAAACAGTCATCCTTGTCCTCCTCCACGGCCAGCGGGTAGTAAAGAAACTCATTTGAATGCGGGTGTCGGGGCTGTGTGTAATTGAGATGCGACTCAATGTCGAATTTGAAGCGGTATCCTTGGTGCACCTGCTGCGGGCGGAGGGCCCCCAGATTACTATTCGCAGATTGCGGTGCCGCGTACGGGTAATGCACGTCAAAGTCGAACTGGAATTCCTGATGGACGACAAAGACCAGCTTTCTCAGTTTCGGAAATTTAGCGAGGCGGGCCAGCAGCGTCGCCATGTTCGTCTTGGAGACTTTCCAACTGAGGACGGGGTGGCAGATGCCCGTGTACAAGCCGTACGACGTTCCAAATGCAAGCCGGCTGAGACTGTCTCGGACAAGGGGGATCTGGCTGAAAAAGTGCAGCGTTCGGAGCAGCCGCTTGACCAGCAAGTACGGCTCGAGCAAGAGGACATCGCGCGACAAATCGACGTATTTTGTGGTGACGGACAGTGTAAGAGGTCTGTAGCGCTGCAGGACGAACACTCTCGTCTCGTGGCAGACTCCGCCAAGGGCTGGTGGTGGCTCATCTCGAACGTTGGCGAACATGAGCCCTGCAGCGGCGGGCGTCTTCTGGCTTGCATTCGGGGCGTCCATGACTTCGTAAACACGGGATTGCGGCAGAGCATATTCCCAAATCATCAGGCGGATCTCCACCGGCAGCTTCATGACGGGGAACGGCTGGCCGCAGCGTGCATCCGCAAAGGACTCCCTCTTGTAAGCCGGGAAAAGGTTCGCCATGTTGGTCTCTGTGTGACGCGGAGGCCGGGTTGCATCGCAGCAGGAGATCTGTCAAGGGGTCCTGAAATTGCGGCCTGTTGGGAACCTGGCGGGCGATCTTCTTTAAGGCTGGATGATCTCGGCGGGGGAAGGTTAAAAATGATCGGCAGCGGGACCCAACCACTCGGACGGCGACCGGGCGAACGAACTTGGCCCAAATATCAACAAGACGAGCGAGAGGCGTCGAGACGAAGGATGGGAGTTGAAATATAGGACCGAGTTACCCACTCGTTTAACGTTTCGACTAGCGGCCCGAGAGATCTCGCATAGATGAGGGTGCGAGTTTGTTTCGAGGATCCGGCCGGGATGGAGAGGGTCAGGGTGGGTGAGCGATGTGTGTTCGAGACTTGACAACTCGCCCCAGGTTGATGAACTGGAGGCAATGAAAGATACAGGCGACGCCAATCGGGGATTATTGCGAGGTGAAGCGAGCAGGCCGGGCGCGCGCAGGAGAAGGCGGAGAAGGAGAAGGAGGTCTTGTTGTTGCAAGGAAGAAAGTGAAACGACAAGAAGAGCCGACGGAGCGAACTCTCACCTGAAAGCGAGCGGCGGCGGGAATGTAAGCTGGTTTTGAGAGCCCGTCCGGAAGCTCCCCATCACACTGGTGAAACTGGGGCTAGTCCCGATCATCTGATGGCTGTCAACTTTGACTAAGGTCTAGAGGCATGGTCATCTACCGTCCCTGCGGTGCTGTTTAGTGGACAAAAGCAACGTGGGATGTCACGACGGTACGCCGCAAGAATGGAACTATTGGGCGCCATGACTGCCCCAATCAGGTAGTGGTGCCGGCAGTGAATGACGCGCTGTCGTCAGAGCGGGCGATGGATGCACCTCGATATCCGGCAAGCCTGGGGCTCGGCAGGCAGGGTGAGATTTTGTGTGTTTCTGCGTGAATGGGGTTTCCGGCGTCCTGGCGAGAAGGGAAAACGCATTGTTGGGAGACCGCATTCGGTGGGTTGTCACTCGACTTGCCCGGAAACCGCGATGCACACGACATGGCAATCTAATTTTGGCAGAGGCCAAGACTTGCGGTGTGCGGTAATCTGGGCGGCGGTAGCTTCGTAATCCCATCAGCTGGCGATGAGCGGCGGGTTCTACATACGTTAGTGATTGCGACTGTCGGGCTACCTTGGGTAGGTAGTAGCTGAGGTATGCCCATCATCTGGACCGTAATATGGCATTGCACGGTGCCGGACTGCTGCTACCACGCCGCCGCTGCAGGGTGACCGCAGCGTTCCAACGAGATGGCAGATGGGTAAGGTGCCAAGACGTTGGCCGGGGTAGGGTCGGGGAGGTGGTGGCATCGGAAGAGGGGCGGGCGTCGCGAGGAGCTCGCCGAAGTTGACGTTGACAAACGGGCGGAGGCCAGGGAATGGATACGGCGATATAGGAATGGGGGGTTTGACCTTGTTGATACCGGGCCGGTTATCGATTGCTGGAAACTTGGGTCGGAGAAACAATACAAATGTGGAAAACGAAGTTTGGTTTAAGCATATTGCTCTTCTCCTGGCGGCCCCTCATATCTGATACCTTCGCTTTGTCGTGGGCCTCGCTGCAATCAATCTGAAGGGAACAAGACGGCCACTTGATGGCGTTGCGTGACCATTTGGTCGACTCTTGCACTCCTCTGTCGCATTTTGACCCCCTGCGCAGCCCCTAGAGGCTTGTCTAGACCTGTGGGCAGGAGTCAGCCCCGGTCATTCAGTGGTTGATTTGTTGGTTCCGCCTGTTGCGTGTACAGTCTTGGTTCCAATTCACTGTACAGAATGTCAATGTATCTGGGCCGGACTGGGATACGCATGCGTCGCTCGGTGGTTGGCGAAGGGGGTGGGAGCTAGGCCCACGCGATGGCTCGAGGTCGGAGACGGAGATGGTGTGTTCATATGGTGCTCGCCGTCATCTTTATCGACATTGGATGACGACGGGGGTTATCTAGTTGGCTCAATACCGATGTGCTCTTCGTCGCACACTGAGTGAAAGTGTGGGGACCGGGCGTCGGTGTGGATGCAGCCGGACACTGGACCTCGCAGGTGAGCTGCAGGCGGGTGCACAGACCATGTCTTCCTTCGACCTTCCCGTCGTTTTCTTTTTTT